AAATCTAAACGTGAAAAAAATTTAAAGGTCAGGAAGAAATCTAGACGGTTAGGAGGAAATCTAAACGGTGAAAACAAAATTTAAACGGTCAGGAAGAAATCTAGACGGTTAAGAAAAGAAAAATCAAAAACGTGAAAAACAAAATTAACGGTCAGGAAGAAATCTATGACCGGTTAGGAAGAAATCAACGGTGAAAACAAAATTTAAACGGTCAGGAAGAAATCTGACGGTTAGGAAAAATCTAAACGTGAAAACAAAATTTAAACGGTCAGGAAGAAATCTAGACGGTTAGGAAGAAATCTAAACGGTGAAAACAAAATTTAAACGGTCAGGAAGAAATCTAGACGGTGAAAAACAAAAAAAAAAAATAAACGGTCAGGAAAAAATCTAGAACGGTTAAGAAAGAAATCTAAACGGTGAAAACAAAATTTAAACCGTCAGAAGAAATCTAGCGGTTAAAGAAATCTAAACGGTGAAAACAAAATTTAAACGGTCAGGAAGAAATCTAGACGGTTAGGAAGAAATCTAAACGGTGAAAACAAAATTTAAACGGTCAGGAAGAAATCTAGATGGTTAGGAAGAAATCTAAACGGTGAAAACAAAATTTAAACGGTCAGGAAGAAATCTAGACGGTTAGGAAGAAATCTAAACGGTGAAAACAAAATTTAAACGGTCAGGAAGAAATCTAAACGGTAAAAAAATTAACGTGAAAACAAAATTTAAACGTCAGGAAGAATTAGACGGTTAGGAAGAAATCTAAACGGTGAAAACAAAATTTAAACGGTCCGGAAGAAAAATAGACGGTTAGGAAGAAATCTAAACGGTGAAAACAAATTTTAAACGGTCAGGAAGAAATCTAGACGGTTAGGAAGAAATCTAAACGGTGAAAACAAAATTTAAACGGTCAGGAAGAAATCTAGACGGTTAGAAAGAAATCAAAACGGTGAAAACAAAATTTAAACGGTCAGGAAGAAATCTAGCCGGTTAGGATGAAATCTAAACGGTGAAAACAAAATTTAAACGGTCAGGAAGAAGTCTAGACGGTTAAGGAGAAATCTAAACGGTGAAAACAAAATTTAAACGGTCAGGAAGAAATCTAGACCTTTACCATGATCAATTTTTCCTATTTCAATTTATATTCTTCTATTAGGACCCATTTGCATCCTCTGTGCCAAATTTCAGCTTTCTGCTATAATTTTGAAATTTTGGTGCATGATACCCCACCCACTCCGATGACCCCCACCGGTCAACCACTGAACCGATGTCGCCCATCTTCGAACTCGAGTTGTGTATTTGCATAGTCTAGATGCGTGGAAAATTTCAAGTCGATCGGATAAGTTTAAAGATAGTTATCGTCGGACAGACAGACAACACGCGTACATAAGCCCTGGTTCGGGCTAAAAATGTGTATATTACATTTTTGTCAACAATTTTTGTTGTATTTTCAGGAAAATAGTTCATCTCAAGTCTGTCATTCAAATGTACCAACTTCGCCTCAACGTCACTACCGGATAAAAATTCTTCCGCTCTTGCTCGTCCTGTTGATCATGTGGTTGAGATGAACGACCACGTGCCGTGGCATGGAGCTTCTCACGAATCGCCTACTTCGATTACGTTAGCCGATAAAGCCGAATTATCCTATTACAAGTAGTCTCCGAAGCCCGCATTGCGGGCTCTTAGCCTCGGAGACAAATTGGTCAATCCAGGATTATGATTGGGGATTAATTAGTCCCTAATCTCAATCTCTAATCACAATCGTTAATCTTTTAATCCTTAACCCTTAATCCAAAAGTCGACTCACGGCTATAAGGTGGGTGCAAGGGCCCTGGTCAAAAGCCGCCTTGTATAAGGGGCGTGCCCATGTTACAGATCGAGTCTCGACTCTAAGCGATGTTCGAAGGATCAAGCCGGGTTCAATTGGGGGAGTTGTGTGCTCGGTTGTTCTGCTAGTCAACGTTTTGTGAACGTTTTGGCACTTTCAGCTAAAAATATTTCCTCAAAACGCCGATAGGTGTCGCTGACCGTGATTTTAAACAACTTTGGGGTAATATGAGATGCGGGTGTAATCAACCCCCAACTGTTTTAATACATACAATTGAGGATTGATGACCTGATAAATGGCATAACAGTATCAATAGAGGGCGCATAATGCGTGAATATGCAAATATCGATAATCTCATTATGCCCCAATCACTGAAAATCAAGGTGGGGCGATTATGTTTTTATTAAATTTACAATCATAACAAGAATTGTGCAGAGTTGTGTGTGTGTGTGTGTGTTACCTTTTGAAGCAAGCGCTTCACTCGATGACTGTATCACCTTACCCCCAATAGTTCTTAAAATTACCACCCAGCGCCACCTATCCACATTTTTAGGTACTAGGTTGTATTTTATCCGCTAGAGGGCGCTTTTCACCGAAAGTGTCCAAACGTTTCCAAAACGTTGACTAGCACCAGAACAACCGAATACGCCACTAATGGAAAAATTTGAATATCCCCTAAGATTTGATCCGTGATCTGGGAACTACCCTTTAGTCGGCAGTTGAACCGTAACGCGTGCAAACTCCCGCAGTAGACCCGGAACCTGGGAGGCACGCCCATTAAGGTCTACAGTTGACCCAGAACCTGGACACTCGCTATCGTTGGCTTATGAACCTATACCCTTTACACATTATTTAGAGAATTGCCTGACCTGTGACCTAAGCATACCTATGTACAGGCAGAGACTGGCGGATTAAAGACATTGACTGGCGGATTGAGATTGAGGATTACATTTTACAATCTTGGGATTGAGATTGAGGATTAAGGATTAATTTTTAAAATTTTGGGATTAAGGATTGGGATTAGGGATTGAATTTAATCTGGGATTACGATTACCACGGGATTAAATTTAGGGTAATTTTCTTGAATTAGGAATTAATTTAGTCCTGGATTAATTGTTTGCATTAAATTTCATTAGGCAAGATTTTTACATTTGAATTTGAACTTCGGAACAAGTAATGTTTTGAAAATTATCCATGCAAAATTAGATCGCGTAGGAATACAATTTTTAACTAGCAATTTTTCCCACAAAAATTGTTTTACGGGCAAAAATTAATTTTACTCTTGGTACTATTTTTAACGCAAGGCTTTGACCAGAATTTGGGGCATATCAATCACATTTCTTTATGAGGTCACACTAATTTTGCAAATTGTCCATTGAGGATACCACGTTACGAGTGGTTTTGCAAAATGTTAAGCAGTATTTTTAAATATATGACAAAAATTAACGAAATTCAATCAATTTTCGAAAAGGGAGCGATCTTAAGAGAAGTTTGGCTTTTCGAGTTTTCAGTCATTGCAAATTTAATCCCATTTTAATCCCATTGTAATCCCACTTTAGGATTGAAGTTGAAATAGTGGGATTGGGTTAGGATTAAAATTATTAAGGATTAAAATTCTAAAACTTGGGATTAAGGATTGAGATTGAGTGTTAATTAATCCCCAATCCTTAATCCGGGATTGACCAGTCTTTGCCTATAGGTGACTTCTGGCCTCGATACCTTTATATAGATTGGTCACATGACGTGAGACCTAGGCGCATATAAATGTTGCTAAACCTGTGACGTAGGAAAATGACCTATGTACTATGTGGGGTGACCAGACTACTCATTAATAGAGGCAGCCAGGCCAGCGGTGGTAGCACATTAAAGGCAAATGACCTATAGTCCTCATGTAACTTGGGACACATGCGAAAGTCATAAGGTGACCTGGACACACCCCTTTAAGTCGTCAATTGGCCCTTACCGCATACGTAACGATTTTCCGGGTTATTGTTAAGTTTCTCATAAGTTCGTTAAGTAGGCAAATTTAGTTAGGGCCTGAGCATTTTTGAAAAATGGTACATGTCGCAATTCCACGTTCTGTTTCCCTTTGCTTATGGATGTCATTCAGCAAACGCTTAATAATTAAAATCTTTCTATTCTGGAGCCCGCATGCGGGCTTTAGAGACTATAACATAGAGTTGTGTCTCATTTTGGCCCATGTGCAACCAAGTTCCAGCGCACACGTTCAAATTGGACAGACAAACACAGTGAGTCACGGCTATTCTTAGTATTGATTTTCCACCAGCTTATTTTACTTTGGCGTGAAAATTATCCAATTTGTGTCATGAATTTGGGTAATTGAATGACTGTTACGTCGGAATAAAATAAAATAGTGTTAAATAATAGGCAGAGTCCGGATAAATATGTTCTTAAAAAAGAAATATTTATGTAAAATGTTCAATCAAATCGCCAAAATATGTATATAAGACATATTTTTAATTCGCTTTAAATTGCCCCAAATTTAGCTTATTTGACTGCAGAAATTCCAAAAAATGCTTTTACATTTCAAAGTGGCAAACAAAAAACATCTCAACATGCTCTGGTATTATTTCTACGATGATCGGAATTTTTTATGAATTGTGAATTTCTGAGGTTTCTCCAAAAGAATATATTTTTTTCGAAGAAATCGCTTAAATATGTAAAAACATATTTATGTGTATTAAAAATAATATATATTTTTGAAAAAATCGTCGAAATATGTAAAAACATATTTATGTGTATCAAAAAATGCACATTTTCGGCAAAATTGTCGAAATATGTTAAAACATATTTATATGTACCAAAACCTGGAAATATGTAAAATATGTGAAAACATTTTTTTGACCGTGTGACCTATGCGTGAGCAGGAACAATATCCCAAAGTTTCAACCCGATCGGGTTGAAAAAGTTTAAAATACATACTCTGATAAGGTCCCATCCGGACTCTGATAATAGGATAATTCGGCTGATTCGGGTAATGTACTCAATGTGATGAACTCAAGTAACATGAATTGGAGTTTGGATAAGGCTACGGCACTTTTTCAGAGTGGGCGTTATTTAAGCTCAATGCGGACCAATTTTAAATATGAATCCATCCGGAACGCGTTCATATGTACAAGTATGCCAATTATTAAATTTTACAAAAACTAGCAACCAATTTTACACATTTTTTGTAATTTAATAGCCACACAACACCAATACATTTTCATTTTGAACATATTGAAATACTCAAGAAATAACTAATTTCTCCATTTTTGCTTAATTATAAACTTTAAGAGTAACCTAGTCAACTGCAAACAAAAAAATACGTATTAAAATGCTTTAAATTTTTTCACCAATTTTCGTAACTTATTATTTTAATTGCCAATTCTATAAACAAATCTTTTACAAATTCATGCTGCCCCGTTTTCGTTTCATTTCCGTACAAATTCTGTGAATCGAAATAGCACAATTTTGTAGACAATTTTCTCCCTTGTCGTCCCCTTTACTCTACTTTTCGCAACGTTCACTTTTCCTAAAAAATTGCAACATAATTCACAATTAAAAATTACTTACAGACTTTGTACAAATCTGAATACATAAATATGGTTTCGTACTGGTAAAAGTTAGAGCAGCCATTTTTTCTAACTTTTAAAAATACTTGTCGCCATGGAAACAAAAACCAGTGGATAATTAATTACACATTTATATATAGTCAAACTACGGTCATTAATTGATTGAATAATACACTATTTGCATTTTACACCGTAATTTTCCAGATGATCATTAAATTTTACTTCATAATTAGTTAACTATTTGTCACACCCACCCATTTCTCTCTAAATATCAGATAACCGACTACGCAATAAAGTTTTTATTTAATTTAAATATGTTTGTTAACACGCCAGAATTTAATCACTATTGAAACCCGTGAATTTTAGTTAAAACTTTTTCATATTTTTTACAAGTATTTCGCCACATTCATAAATTTTTACATAACATTTCACCTACCAAGTTAATTTTATCCATTGTTTAATTTCTCAAATTTCACAGGTGAATTTCAATCTCATTGTTTTTGTTTCCTTTGTCAATCAGTTATCAATTTCGTGTATTTGTCACATCTTGTTCCCCTCTCGGTTGCCCTGCGTTTATTTGTGTAAACTGGTCCGCTCGTTTAATATAATTGTCGTAAACTCGTCATATTAATTTTTGCATGTGCAAATTTTGCATATTTCGTACTTATTGTGGCTGGTTTCACTTTCTGTAACCGACCGATCGTGTCGGTTATATATAGTCGGTCAATGGTCCCAAAGATTTACACATGATTTAATTTAAGTTTTCATACTTGAATGATTAATTAATTAGCTAAGTACAGTTAATTAATGACTACTTCTATGATTCCCTCACGAACGACTAAGATTTCCCGAATAACTGCCTAATGATCCATTGCCAAGATTAATGATTACATTGTATTTTAGAAGTTACTCTTTAATTACGTAATTAATTATGTACAGAGTCATTGCTTTGCATAATAATAGAAGTGTCGATTAGACGGACTACGTGCTTATCTAGCTACTTATCTAAATTTGACTACATTTCGACTAGATGATAATTTATCTATTTATTTTCTACTTGCTACTTTTTAAGAGAATTGTAATGATTACATTAAGAGTTGACAAGTTAGTTAAAAAGCAAGTAAAAGTACAGCTACTCGATATTGATTGATATCGATTGATAAGATGAAATTGTAACTATATTTTAAATGTAAAGCTAACAACATTAACTTGAATTAAATATGTGATTAGCTCTCGTCCGGTCACACGTTAACCTTTCCATGATGATCTTGGATAAGTCTGGTCCGGTTTTAAATACGTAGTTTTTTTGGTCTTCTGCTGGCTTCGCTGGTTTGATGGTAATTTATGTCTCTTTTTTAATGCCGTAATTTGCCATGTGGCACTAAATCTATTTAGTGTATCAATTTACTAATTAATTTGCATAGTCTATACATAAGTACCGTTAAATAAGTTGTCCTTAATAACTAGTTAGTTAAGTATGGTCTAATATTTTCCTGCATTCTGCGTGACATCTCATAAGCGTTAAACGCATAACAATCGTTCCTAAACTTGTTCAGCAGCAGCGGCATTTCTCCCATCAAAGGGACCATTCATTAATTGCGCGGAGTCCCAATTTTCAGGATCAACTCAACCTCCACGACGCTTCCTTCCACCTTCCACGCAATTAGCGAAGAGTCCTCGGAAGGGAGAACAGCAAGGGTCGTGGTCACACGGCGGCGCCATGCGTCACTACACTTTCTAATCAGATTATTTATTGGTCTCTTGTGTCACCAGGGCCGCTAATTTAAAGGGCCTGCGCCGCTCTATCTAGGGCCGATATTTGCTAAGTTAACAGGGAGAGGAGAATCCGGCAGGGGTTTTTTTCTAATTAAGATTTAATTCTTACGTCCTAGACTTAACCATTTCTAGGATTTACATATGTGCTAACGTATTAGTCAAGAAATTAGCTACGGTTTCATAAATGTGATTTTTAGCATCCTCTTTCTTTGCCGTCTACTAAATTAGCTAAGTATTCACCTTAAAAGTATGCACACAATAGCGGAAGCAATTATTTACCTAATTTTGCATAATATTTAAATTTGCATAATATTTAATAAGTTGCATATGCCGTATACAAGAAATACGGAGAGATTATGATTCTTCATGAATTTTGCTCTACTCCTGGTCCTCTTCGTCATTCTTGTAGTTGACGTAGCGAACGGAGGACTTTTCGCCGAGGATGAGGTTCTTCTGCTCCTCTTTGGTGGGTGGGGCTCGCAGCATGAAGAGGGCCGGCGCGTACATGAAGTTAATGATGGCAATCCCGATCAGCATCCACTCAAAGCCAATGTTCTTCACCAGGGTGCCGCTCATCGCAGGGCCTGAAATAGGGTTCAAGATAGAGATGATGATTTTAAGACGTGGGTACAATGGGCGTCAACATCCATTCATGTGATTTTGGTCAAGGAATGAATTCTACTCAAATGAGAGAAATGTGCGCAAAACTGGGAAGCGTGGCACCAAGTTTGCCCCTCTGGTTCAAATTATGCAGTCAAACTGAAATAATGCTCACCGATGGCAAATCCTAGACAGAAAGCGACATCGCCGATGGCATAGACTGACCCGTAGACGGCGGCGTGACGAATGTCGACCAGATATCCGAGCTCGGGCATCATGGAGGAGTCCACCATTCCAATGGCGAATCCCAGCCCGGCGTTGGGTGCGATCAAGTGATTGATATTCGTGGCAAGTGGAATCTGAGATTGGGCAATCATCATCATCATCATCGCCGAGGAGAAAATGGTGGAAACATGATCCCTTAAAGGACCGTGCAGAAAGAGATGGCATCAAATGGAGGCCGTGACCACCTCCCATGTCAAACACCTGCCCGTGCTGGATGACTGGGAGGGCGAGGTAGTCATGCCACCCTTTCTGCACGGCCCCTTGAGCGTTAACTTACACACAGGAGACAGATGCCGATAACAATGAGTCCAATCATGGCAGCCAACCATCTAAGCATGAGAAGAGAAAGCCGTTAGTCGTGCCAATTTATAAGGCGAATCTTCATTATATTGGTTGCACGGTCAATTTACTCTCCCGACGAGGGCGCAGGGTTCCAAAACATTTCGGGGGTTACTGTCTTTAATTGGGTTGCGGAACTTTGCAAAAAGGGGGAAAGACGGGGTGGACATGTCTTTGAGAACCCTGCGACGAGATTTTGGTTGAGATTATGGTTTTACCTGCCAATCCTGTGACCCAATGGTCCGAAGAGATTGGTTCCGATGAGGTAGGAGATGGAGGCGGGGAGGAAGGCGGCCCCCAACTGCCACTTGGGCGCGTTCATCGTGTCCATCATGTGAATTGGCAGCGACGGCTCCAACATAGCGATTCCCATGTTCGCAAATGTGATGGCCCCTGCTCAACGGAACATGGAAAACGTGCAGTAAAACCGTCCGATTACACGAGCGGTGCAACTCCTTCATGAGTACCGTAATAACTTATGCACAACAATTTGGCTAAAATGAGGCAAAGTGAGACGACTAGAATCCAACACGTGAGCTCAATCCACTCAAGCCATTTCGACTTATCCTTAGAGATATTACTTTTCACTTAAATTAGTCTATCCTTAAAGTCAGATTCGTCCACCATGGAAAAATTGTTACAAACTTGCCCAGATTTGCACTGACAAGTTATACTTTAGCAAATCATGACTTTTGCCATGTGTCGTCACTATTTTGTATCGTATTAAATGGCATAAAGCTCAAAGCCCTAAGATAAATCACGACATGTGACATGTTTGTTATTTTAGCTCGTCTAAATTTCAAGGAAAAATCTGAGCCCCCAAAAAGCGCAAATAAAGAAATCTCGCCACTCCATCGATTACAGGCAGTGATTTGTTTGTCTCCACATTTTCTTCTACTCTACAAGTCCATTACTTAAAATCAAAGTGGAAGGTTTCCCCACGGGTGGAAAAACACACTCTACCTGCCGCCACGATGATGTATGGGTCCATGAGGAGCGCCTTGAGGGACGGGGCCTCCGCCTCTTGACTGCAAAACCAACACAGAAAAAGAGAAAGTCAGTCAACCATTGTCGTCCCCTCTCCAAAAGCGCCGTGCAAAAGGGACGCGTCTCGGCGTCCCCTGCCACCCATCCCATCCGGCCAACCACAGCCCACGTGCACGCCACCCCACACCCGTCAAGTCGAGTGGGAGTAACAGGATCATGATTGAACTCACCGAACAATTCCAGGCTGAAGGACCAAGAGTTGAAGAACTGAGGAAAAAAGAGAAAGTGATATTATTTCACCTCAAATGTTCCGGATTGAAATATCTCCCTCTTTCCTCTCTTCCTCAAACGTACACATTTTCCTGCGACCAGTCAGCCATGAACTTTGGGAGACTTTTTCCACCATTTTTGTACATACTGTGCGTGCTTAAGTAGGTTAAACATGCGGCCCTAGTTGAAACTGCACGTTAAATCCATTCTTTATCTGTGCAAATGTGGTCAGACACGTGGACATGTTAGGGCACAATCTAAACAATTTGGCTTGATGAAGGGCTGTAAAATGGACTTTGACAGCTTTACAAGATTACAGATCACGAAATTTCCCATTCCTTTTTCAGCACGATATTTTAGCACGTTTTTAGGAAACGTACTAAAGTATTCCTCCATTACAAATGATGTCATGCTTGATACACACGTGGTAAGAATTGGGTGCTCACCTCCGTCTCCGAGGGCGAGACAGGCGAGGATGAGAAAGGGTGCCGTTTTCCCGACGAATTGATACATAACTCCGCCGAAAGGGGGGCCGATAAGGACGCCGAGTGCTAAGCCTCCCAGCGCCACCCCCATCGCATTCCCTCGCTCCTTGTCGTCCGGAAATCGCTCCGCCAACATGCCCATCCCTGTTCGCGTGGGAGCAAGAAAGACACTTTTTTGTATTCCAGATTCAATTTCATATCGCATCTGCAGACCGGAAATGACACCGTATCGGCGTCTTCATCAGGCATGAAATGGAATCATGAAAAAAGGAGAAAGGCAAAGATGGACAGCTATTTATTTACAAAGCCCACGTCATCACGTCGCACAAAGAGCTTCGATTGTGATTTCGACAAATTTCCTAAGGTTTCTAATTTTAGAACAGATCAATGTTTTCCAGAGTAGTTTTGCAAACGTAGCTAAATTTTCGCTTGCAAAATAATATTTTGGAAGTGTTTCCTCTGAAAATTCCGGAGGAAAAATAATGTGAGGAATTACCTGACACGCTAGAGCATGAAGATCCAATTCCTTGCAGTGCCCTGGCCAGAAAGAGTACGCTGTAGGAGCGTCCAAATGCAAAAACTAAGCGAAAATGGGACACATTTCATGAAAATCATCTTTTATATATTAACCGTTTCTTCTGCTTGCTTACTAATGGTGGAAAGAAACATGATGATAAATCCGGCAAACATGGGGATGCTGTAGCCAATTCTGTGATAAATATTTATTACAGGAGATAACATATCCGTTCAGTGGTTATCAGAGAGTCGAAAGTAACCTGGACCCACCCACCTGTTCGTTAAGGGACCCACAAACGGGTTGGCTAAGAGTTGGACGAACGCCTTTGATGCAAACATTACGCCAACTTCGACCGTTTCATCCGTCAGCTCGTCGTGCTTGGACCGTCGCGGCTTCTTCGTCGTGATTGGACCAGTCGGGGCGTCCAACATGGTGCCTGAAAAACATGTGAGTTACAAGTGGCTCGAAGGCCGTGAAGGATGCGACCTCGCTTTGAAATCGTGTCAGATTGTCTGATAAGCAATCTCAAAACCAGGTCGCATCCATTCTGCACGGCCCATTCCATGATGAGCGCAATGATGGTGAGGATAAGGTTGTGTTACTCATATTGGCCGGAAATTCGGTGACGAAGAGTGTTTCTGGCGGCGTGGTGGTGGTGGCGAGCCTTGCAGCCGCAGCAGCCGCGGCCTGTTGGGCCAAGTCCGCTTCGAAGCTCTCGTAAGTGATCCCCTCGTCACGGTGGCGAATGTTGTAGAGAAATTCCGGAATTATTGGAACTGGAGTAAAATTAGAATGCTAATTACAGGGCGGCGGACAAGTGAGATTAATGAGGAGAGGTGGGAGACGTATGGGGATGGATTAGGCATGGCAGCCTGTGTGGTCTTCACATTGCATCCATCATGTTGAGAAACGAGGTGGGACGCGTTGTGGGAGAAAGCAGAGGAAAGTACGGTGCTCATGAAATAGGGTTCACAGTCATTTTCGTAATTTTGTAATCTACACATGTTGACTAATGTCAGATTTCTGCCAAAGGCGGGGTGTTATCATTGGCTCCATTAATGTCATTATGAGATTATTTTTTTAATTATTGAAATTTGTGAGGCCTAATTTATTATGATATTTGTGATGCTTGCCATGATTTAAATTACTTATCTCGTGGCGTGGGTGTGACGTGCAATTTCTGTAGTTGTTACTACTCCCCGGCTCGATAAGCGCTTGATGCGGGTAGAGTAAGTTAGTATAAGTGCAATAATAAAAATAAATGAATCCCGCCTTGCCCCAATTCCCCCTGGCTGATGTGAAACCCTGTCCTCCGAGGTATAGGAAGGACAGGGTTTATAGGACTGGAGGAAGGAGCAAGATTGAATTTGGACCACCACCACTTTTCCGACGCTGAATGATGCATTCCTCCACTTTCTCTCCTCGTCGGACTGAATCCACACTTGCTTTCTCCACTCGACTTTTTCCTCCTGCCCATCAGACCCCACTCTGATTCACTTGACTCTAAATGAATTCAACACTCTGGGCAAAATCTCATTGATTCTGATAAATGAATTTTTCATGCCTTTTATGTATAATCATCTCCTCCAAGAGTCGTCATTTTTCCACTCCCCGTCCCACGCGCGCCCATCCCCGACCTCTGCGAGACCTTCGACCAGCTTAATTTATTCCTGGGGTGGGCTGAGACACATTAATTTCGTCACGTGACGTGCCAACTTTCATTCTTCCTCTCCTTGTCTAGCCAACGGACTGACGGACATGAATATATTTCACGTGGGAAAGATGGCATCCCCATTTTTGGAAGACACGGCTAACAAAATGGACTTCCATGCCCTTGAACACATTCACATCCTTTTGAAATCTAGACAACCTAGGCTGTGTTAAGTACTTAAGTAAGCACAATAATGCAGGGGCGATGTAGCATTTGACATTCCCACTTGGCAAGAAATATGGCATGAGAGATCACATCTTTCCAGGAAAATGAGCCAACTAAACCATTTTCCTCTGGTTTTTAGACAAAGTAAGATTGTTTTGGGGATCCGTTTCTGTGAGGATGCAATTTCCAGTCGGTATTTTCGAATAACTTATTATCCCCGTTTGAAGGAATGGCTGTGCTTGTTGCGAATAAAATAAATTGGTCTCTCCACTGACCACCGTTTCACAAGAGGCACACGTGTAGGCCAAAACTCTGAGGATATTACCGTCTCCTCCCTTGCCTGCCCATCATTATCTAAAGTGGTGTTTTGTCTCAAAAAGGAGATACAGACCCCAGAAGAGGAGAGACCATGCATGGGCCCCTACCTCTTCCACCCATCACATTAAAGTGGACCACTTGTAAAGATTTATTTATTCCTCATGAGTCTTGTTTCTCGCTTGGGGGCTGTGCACGCAGAATGGCCTGGGCCTTAGCCTCCTCCTGTTAGTGGGGTAACACGAGAGGTCACGTCCCTTCTGCACGGCTCTGTGGAATGGTAGCCGATAAAATTGAGCATTTTTCTCTCCTTGAAGAAAATATCGAGTTTTTTATCCACTTTGCTGCTCAAAATGTCCCATTTATTTCCCCCTTCTCTGTGGCCATTGAGCATTGATTAACAGAAAAAATGGACATTTCCCACCCAGCGAAATTGCCCGTGTTCTTTCACCAAGCTCTTTCCATGCTCCCTTGTTCTCCACACTGGTGTTTCCTCGAGGATTGGATTCTGGCTAATTGTTGGCTCCACCAGTGCCCGTGTGCTGCAGTTTTACCCACTCCTCCACCTGCATACTTTGAGTTTATGCTGAAAAGTTTGAATTGTGACATACTTTTCTGTATTTCGCAAACGAATCGAATTCCACGTGGACCCGATTTCATATTTCATAGGGTTAAATTTAATGCACCACCGAATAAGCTGAAATCTACCACAAATTTTAGCTGAATTCGCCACCGGATGAATTTTTTCCAACTTTAGCCTTTTCAGCCACCGATTTAGATGGTGGTTACCACAAATTTAGATGAGCTGTCATCACCATATTTAATGAGCATAGGATTATAAAAGCAATATAATTTACAATAATATGATTTAGTTATTTATGTAATACGTCTATATACATGTCTCTTTTATAAATACACCTGAAATTAAATAACCTAAGCGCTTTTTTAGCTTTCGCAACCCTACATTCTTACGCTTTTGGAAAAAGCTTTTACGCAAATGGAACGGTTTTGGCTTCTGGTCTAACATCATAGCGCATATTCTGAACTTCTAAACCAATTATTTCCTTGCGTCCATTTTTCCAGGTCTTCCAACAGAAATTTAAAATTGCTAGATGTCTCTCCAGCCGTAACGGCAAACTGGTTGGGTGAAAAGTATTTTTTCAAATCCAATCCGATCCGATCCAGTTTTATTGGGTCAGAAAAAATCAAGCCAATTCTACCCTGTCGGATTCAGATTGAATTAATCCGGTAAAGTATATATCCTAGGACTCTCTAAAGGAATATTAGACGCAATTGGGCTTGAGTTTCTAAAATTTGGGAGAATTTTCCTCAGAAAGAGAGGATTCGGTATCACTGGTCTAATTAAAAACTTGCGAATACGTCATTTCTTTGGTTTTAAAAAACGTTGCTCAGATAGATATATTTTAACTGCAGGACAACTGTGAGAGTATTGATGACCAGCCGAAAGGTAATATATACGTCACTTCTCCTGCCCAGTCTAGTCAATGATATACAAATATATACACAGGTACATGCAGCAATAAGGTTATCAATAAGGAAATTAGCATGATTTCTTGAGATTATTGTGCTTATATTTTTTTACAAACATAATACCCATGTTTTATCGTCATTAAATATGGTGATGGCAGCTCATCTAAATTTGTGGTAACCACCATCTAAATCGGTGGCTGAAAAGGCTAAAGTTGGAAAAAATTCATCCGGTGGCGAATTCAGCTAAAATTTGTGGTAGATTTCAGCTTATTCGGTGGTGCATTAAATTTAACCCTATTTCATACCGATTTCATGCTTCCATTAAATGCAAAACTATGGTGTGGATGTAAAAAGGGAGTAATTATCTGAGGCGCTTTTTCTCCTCCTGTAAAAGGTGACGAGTATTGTCATGACACCCTTTACGCAGGCCCTCCATTTGCTTGGAGAAAGGCCAAGCCGTGCACATGGTCAGACCACTTTTGCACCGTACGTGCGACCAGATCAGGCTGGTAAAAGTATTCCATTTATTTTTGCAAAGTCATAAAAAGCGAGCTGTTTTCGTTCAGTGGAGGCATGAGCGTCATCGTCGTTACCTCCACATTCCGCCTCCATTCGCCTGCCGCACTGGGTTGGGGAAGAAATGATTAAATTATTTTATTTCGGTCTAATCTAGATTTATTAGGGGCACGTTGACATCGTCACCCACCCCGTTCGCCCTTCACTCAGCAAAGGTGACCAAGGAATCTGACTCCAGTAATGAATTTCCATACCGCTTGTAAAATGCGAGTCTGATCTGACTGAGCAAAGAGAGGTTTCTTGCCCACAAGTTGACGACCAGGGTGTCGCCCAAATTATAATGTACCTCAAGTATGACAAACTATAGCAGTTCGCCCTTCAGATGCGTTGCAGACCTGTCCAATTTTTCTGGATTTACAAAAATTATGATTCTGCGATGCGTCAAGTGGGCGAAATTGATGGAAAATTAGACCAATCGCTGTGACCTCAGAAGCAGAATCATCATGTTCTGGAATAACCCTACTGAGTTTCAACTGGGGGAAACCCTGGTGAAAACTATGAAGCCAAACCTCACGGCCAACAAGTGGTTTAGTTTTCATTTCGTATTCCACCCTCGTCTGGTGGAAAGGTTGGATTTGAAAAGGAGGAGAAAGTCCTCTAATGGAGTTTCCCAGACTGGGAAAACAGATCAAGTTGACGTGTCGAGAAGCGTTTCGTCATAAAATAATAATACCCGCCGTCTTGCCGGATAAATTATGCAACACGCATATTAATTAGTCCACCAGCCAATACCTAATGTTTCATGTTGAGGACGGGAACAGACAAATTTCCGGTTAAAAATGTGCCACAAATTATCCAGCATGTTTTATTTAAAGATAAGTCCTTATCAAAGTAAAATCCACCACGGGGATGATAGAAACTAGGTTGTGACGTGGCAGATTTTCCTAGAAATAAAAGTGTGAGATGGTGAGGTGGTCGGCTTACCCACGGTGGTTAGGAGCATGTTGTCGAGGAGGAGGGCAATGGCGACGATGATAAGAACCAATTTGCGCGACTCCCTACAACCCGCGAACCAGGCGGCGCAGGGCCACCCAGAAACCACATCAGCGACGGCGGCCGTCATGTCGACGTCGCCTCGTCGACGTCGCCTCCTCGGAGTCGGAGTGGTGGTGAAAGTGCAGCTCTTGTTCTATCCGTCGTTCATCACCGATCTCCGCCCAACGCTCCACGCTCGCTCAAAGTCTCGACGTGTGGCCACTGCTGCTCCAGAAAAAATAGACAAATTTTTAATTAATTATTTTCTTCAAGGCTAAAGTCATGATTCATATTTCGATTTTCCCAGCCGAAGGTAGTCACGAAAATGTTGGGATTTCTGGGTATCTTCATCTTGGGAAAAACTTACTCGTGGAAATTCCTCCGCTTTAATCCACCAAGCAGAATTTTGGGAGAAAGTGAAATTGCTGGCCCGAAACGGGAGTAAATGTAAACATTTCGCTTCAACCACTCACACTTTGTTTATATTCAGATTACACAATTTGCCCAGATTTTGTAAGATGCAACCACCATTTGTTCCTGAACGAGTGTAAAAAGGCCCAATTGTAAATAGGAAAGCATCAACTCATGCAAAGAAGATCGTCACATCGTAACGAGTTTTGTTGGAGATGGCGTCTTTATTTGCCAGTCTAACCACCCCCATTTCCATAAACTTCTTGCACTCCAGGGTGTGAAGCTGGGGGAGAGGAGGAGTGGAATTGTCAGGACATGCCGTCACCAAGGAGATGGAAACGCCAAAGTGGACATTCCTCCAAATAAAGTAAACCAAACTTGCCCACTTCGCAGTTTACTTGGTTTCGACGGAATCACGATTCTCATTCTCATCAGGATTGTGTCCTCGTCTGGTGAGGGCTGTGCGGAAAGAATGTCACTGCTTTTGACCCTACCTACAATGTCATGGGTAACATGCAACACGAGGTCACCCAATCCTTGCTGCACGGCCGCCAGAATTCATTGGCTTTATCATCACTTGTTATTTTGCGAGTGGAGAAATTTGGTGCATAGCTACAGGTTGGACTTACATTTATTGGAGCCGTCGTCACACTTGTCACTCGTACCTCGCATCACAAAAGTGTTGACGACTCACTCTCACAAAAACAATAAAATCGTCGGAAAGGAGAAAATCAAGATTTTATTTCCCTTTGCCTTCTTTTTATTCGCCCACTTTCTCCACATCGTCGTGGAAAAAGGGCACGTTTTTCCAGACACACCTTCATTAACGTGTCATCTCGCATCCTACCTACTCAGCCAATTAATTAATTTCGTGCCATAATTTTTCAACCCTGGTTTGTACAAATTTGCTACCTTTGTATCCCCTTAATCGCCATCTCATAGATACGTGTGGCACAATCCCATGGGCACGTATGCATTTATTTATCTGTATCCGTATCGAAACCCCGGCCTGATAAGTGCCATATTTGCCCAGAGATTTGTACCCTTTTAACAATTGACTAAACCTGAACTTTAAACGGATTTGAGTTTAATTTCCTTTTCGCTAAGCAAACTGCCACCCGAGGAGCGAAGGAGGATCGCCGTGTTCAAAAACACTTGGTGATTGCTCTGAGTAAACTTGAGAGTACAGTTTTTGGGAGGATGTTTACCAAAGATTTTCACGAACTGTGTACCAAAATACCGTCCTGAGACCTTTACAACAAGGCGGACTTTCTTCCAGGAGGAAGGGCTGTGCAGAGAGGGCAGCATTCCGACAATGAAGCACACTGAAGGGGTCAAAGTGACCTTACAAAATTCCTACGCCCATTTTGCAAGGCCTCCAAGAAGACTTTGAACGGATACCTGGCGATGCTGAAGGGGTTCTCGGGCTCTCTTGGGATTTCTTTAGCAGCCAAAAAATAAAAGTTCATGACCTCTCGGATGAATATTATTTAAGACTTCCGTACGTAGTATCCGGGGGAAGAAATGGGCTTCATTTCTGAGTATTTATTCATTCCATATTTGGTTAAATTTATGCAATTTGTGTTGCTTTGTTACGTAAGTTGAACCTCTATCCCAATTAATTAAACCCTCAAGTCGGAGAAAGCACAACTTTTTTTTAGAATAATGTTGTAAACCGCACGGTTTTGAATTTATGCAGAAGTTGCAGAGATGCAAAAATTAAAAAAATCTGTACTCTGACTAATTAGCTCTTGAAGGAGTTCCTTAATTAGATAAAATTTGAGAGGTTGTTGTGGTTTTGAATTTTCAGAAGTTTTGAGGATGTGGGATGTAAAGGGTTTCTTACATTCTCATCAGGAAAATCGAATGAGCCAGAAATAAATAAGTAGTTTTTGTAATGCTGACAACAAGAATTTGTTATATTTCTACCATCTTTAAATGACAAAATCGGATTAAAACGTGCCACTTATTTGCAACCTGGCCTAATCACCGATGTCTAAATTTAATTTCATGGTGACGATATGCAATAAATACTTGCACTCTTCGTCAGCTCTTCGTCTGACTAAAGCTTAACACTAAAAGTGACTTAACTAATTTATTTGTAACTTTTGCAGGAGAAAACTGTACAAAAATGTGCACACTTTCTAATGCTCACATATTTCACTAGGGAATCCATACACCCAGATTGAAAATGAGCAACCACTTATTTGCCTCACGGCATAATCAATTACCAAAAATTTATAACTTTGGCAATTTCTAAGTGAACAAAAATGAAAATTTGCTGGCCCAATATTTTGACGACATTGCAAAAAATACAGATTTCTCACATGCTTCGATCGGATGCTTTAGGGAGGGTCCCAGCCAGTCCGTGTCTGCCTCCACGTCGATGGGTATGAGTGTACCAAGGAGCAACTTGCCTTTGTACCGACCTGGTTTTTTTATTACATAAATAGCAATTCGCCCCTAAAACCTCGCCCACTTGGCCTTCTTCTTCTTCTTCTTCTCTGCGAGTGAATTAAAAAGGGAGAAAAAAGCTACAAAGGGAAATTAGACATGCAGGAAATGTGGAGAAAGGAATAAAGGATTTTTCAAGAGAAGAAGCAGGAGCGATCTCTCTCCAGCAAAGAGAAGAATTAAGAGCATTGATTGATTTGGGTGCTGGGGGCCCTGCACAGCGTACGTCTCGCCCAACGAACCCCCAGCTTCATACGTCAAATGTTCAGCAGGAAATAGCGGATTTTTCACTCCCCGTAGTATGTGCAAGGTACGTGGAAGGATTATTTCAGCGTTCTGATTACACACAGGTCGACTTTTTGGTCTTTCCTCTCCTTCAGAAAGGACGAGGAGGAGGAGGAAGAAAGAGAAAGCGAAATGCCGAGGAGTTTTTAGTTCATTGAATTCTAATAGCAGAACAAGAAGAGAGAGAGAGAACACCAGTTGGTTCCGAGTCCAGGGTTTACAACAGCTCGTGATCTTTTCCGTAATGCTTTTGTGCTATTTGCTCCTCGGAAATGACCAAATCTCAACTTTCGAAGTGTGTAAAGCGTACCGAAATAAGTTTCAGACCGGACACAAAGGATGCCCAGTGTACCTCCGCATTTCTTGCAACTTGGATAATGTCCACCGATTGGGCTAGAAAAGTGTTGAGGAGAGGAATCGTGGTTGTTGGGAACCCTGGGTGGCTTAGAGTCGGAGGGTTTGAGGATGAAAAGGATGTCGTGGGTCTGGAGAGAGTGCTTTGATATCAACGTTGCTGGCTCTCCACTTTCTTCCTCTTTTACCTCTCTGGCACAATGGGTCTCATCCTCTCATCCCTCACTCACTCACCATTCCACTCACATTAGCTCCCAATGATTCCTGCCAACCAAGTCATTATGCAGCATCATCACTCTGCCCGGCTTGGCAATACTGCCCGATACGTCAGTTGGCAGACAATAAGCAATGAATCCACGTATGTATGTAGCATCGCAAACAAATACTCTGAGCAAATTTTCATCAATTTGTCCATAGACAAGCTGAAAATCGGTTGTTATTTACGACCCATTCTTCCGGCCGTTCAGATTGGTGAGATTGACTGCTGCATAAGAAGCTATACATGAATACGTCGGAACAGAGTGCAATTCAGGAAATGCCGCGTCAAGGGATCAACTGCTGTTCGACTTGCACTTGCAAGTTGCAAGTTACAAACGAAATTTGTACATACTGAGTCCTGTTCGTTTGATGTCCATCCCATTTTCAAGTACCAAAGTACAATTTTAAAAAGTGACGCCTAAAATACATGGCTTTCCTTAGAAATGATGCAAAACTCAAATTTTCAGACGATTGACGTCCTTATTTTCCTTGATAATTCGTCTCTGAATGCATGCTACCATTGGCAGGCAGGTTTACCTTTATGACAAAGTTGGTTCTTCGATTGATGGGACAAAAATCGGTATGCGGGTGAATCTAAAGCAAAACCCTGTGTCGAAGAAACGACCGAAAACCGTTTTGTAGGGGAAAGTATCACCATGAGCCGTATCTGGCCATCTCTCAATTTGTGTGAATATTTGGTGGGGTGAAAGGTATCAAAGAGCTGACTCACCTCATGAGACGGTTACATGTTGTTGGTGATGAATCTGTGGTCAAGTCGTGTTGAGTGTAGGCCTCTTTTCTGGCAGGAGGTTGTGGTGGTCTCTCTCGTTGTCAGTTCTGCTGCTGCAGGGACCACGACGACGACGACAACGACGACGGGAGAAAGTAGACTGAGACCAAACTCTACGCGTCCGAAGGTTAAGAGAGAAGAGAGAGCAGGCTCTTCTCCACTCACGATGCCTCCTTTCGCCCCAACTCGGTGGTGCACAAAGGATGGCACCTCTTTCCACCCACATCCAACGCTGGAGAAATCCCAGGCTGGTCTTTTTATGAAATTCTATTTTACACCGTCCTCTTTGTGGACGAAATCACGGGAGGAGAAGGGAGCTGGACCCTTCAATTACAGTGTCAAGTACTTATATACTCAAGAGAAAGGAGGGTGAAAGTTTCTCGAAATTGTCAAAATGTGCATATGTCCAGGCCGCCCACACCCGCAAAGGCCAAGCTCTAATTAATTAACTGAACAATTTTCTCTAAATTGATCAGTTCTCAGAAATCAGAAATCTAGTAGATTTCTTAAATAAATAAAAGATTTGTTTATAATCCAAGATTCTGAACTTTCATTATAAGTTCGCATGTTCGTATTGCAATGCAACTTTTTTAAATTGCGAACTAAATACTAGGCTTGGAGACGCGCAAGTTCGCAAATGAATTTTCAAGCCATAACTTTTTTGCGAATCTTGTTTTTTGCTAACAATGCGACCTCGTGATGAATACCCTCAATAGAGTACAGAATGTGGTATCAAAATTGTGACCAAGTGTCAAGGTATCATTATCGGGACTGGATCATGAGGAAATCCTGCGTGCACACCCCGGAGAATGGGGAATGATGAGGATGATATGGTCTCACTCAGCCATGCAGTCATCTGGAAAGTCTCTCTCGCCCTCCGCAGAAATGGGAGTGATATCTGCCTCGTGATGAAGCCGAGAAAGAACAAGTGGGCAGAGAGAAAGGTGAGGAAATCGGAGGAAATCAACTGCCTGCAACTCCAGCCTCCGCCTGGTCCTAGTGGGCAAGCAAGGGGAGAAGAAACCAATATCGGCACTCGTTATAACCTCCAACGCGTCCTAAGCCAAGTCCTCGCTATACAAGTCAATTTGAAATCGGATGCCGTCCTGGAATGACTTTCACTTGGGCAAAAGTGAGGATAAAATAAACGTGGTGGTGGTGAAACAAGGGGAATAATGACGCCAACATGCGAGTATTATGGGTGCGATGCATGTCCATATATCGGCATTCCATTTCTGCACATGTCATCTCAAGATTTTTCGCACAGGGTTGCGAAAAAAATATCCTCCCCCGCAGCCTTTTATCCCAACCAGAAATTCGTACAAATAGTCACACCTACGGCAACCCTGCCCGTCTCAAATTCCCCTAAATCAAGATCTCTCTTCCTTTCATAGGAATGGACTTCCTTTATGCGAATAACCATCATCACGACGATTTCTGAGACAGGAAATGCCTCAAATTTATCCCTGATCGCCTCCTCATGTCTGCACGTTTGATTGATATTCCTCCCTCGCACCACAGTCGTCGGGATGGGAGTAAAGAAAAAAATGCCAGCAAAAAAGTGGTGGTGGTGGTGAGGGTTTTGAGGATCATGAGGCACATTTTTCCCCCGTCGACGTCGACGTCGTCGTTGTGGCCATGACTTGGCTTTCTTTGTCACCCAACTGACTGACTGACTGGTTGAATAGCTCCCTCGAGACGACGAGCAAAGTCGGATTGAATGAATCCCATCCCACCACGAGCTTAAGGACAAGATTCCTCTCTTCATAATGGATCCACTTGTTGAACGAGTCACCTCCTGCTCGGTGGGGGCTGTGCAGGAACGAGGCCACCTATTTCTATTTCTCTCCACCCCTCTCCCCTTAGCAGCTCGACGCCTTGGCCGCGTGTACAATGAGGTGGTGCATGCTCACATCCCTCGCGCACGCCCCGCTCCTTTTGTCATGTCATAGTTTGGAATCTACTGTCTAAATAATTGAGTCTTAAGGGGGGCAAATATTGGACGTTTGGGAGCAGTAAATTTTTAATTTGTTTTTTTTTGTTCTCGGGTCAATTCCAATCTTGTGAGGGGAATAGAATGGAGCTCGATCTCGACTAAAATAAGTCTGGGAGGATGAAATGCGAATCTGGCGAAAGGTTGGCATGGATGAATAATTTAATCTCGATTCGATATCTTTTCCTCACTGGAAATCAATTCTACTTTATTACGATCAGAACAGAACAGAGAGCGAGGGATGGATGGATGTAGAGATTACGAGTTATGATTGAAAAGTGAGTCCTGCTTCGATGCACAAAGGGTACAATAGAGTAGAATTGAACATTATGTATGCGAACAAAATTGATCATGTAAAATCCACACTGATTGTTTTTTTTTTGAAGAAACCAGGAAGTGCTTCAACCCAGAGAGAGAGCAGAGAGAGAAAGTTGGGCAGAGATTCAACCACCAACCACGATCTCCTTGCTGCATATGTATCTAGTCCTGACAGACTGCGGGCACTTCATCCACCTGAACATGGCCAGTGTTTCACCGCGTTCTAAACTGTGGCCTTTACTCGTAAATACTAAAAATTTCTCCCAATTGCGAATTGCAATTCATTCTGATTTGGGACACGCGAAGCTGCAAAATTTCACATTTTGACCCCAATTTCCTCATCTCCCGGGAGCCCGAATTATTTCACGTTTGGTGGGATAGTAAGGCAACCCTGGTGGTTCATGTTATTAATACATAGTCAGCAGTCCGGCTAGTTGAGCTGAGTTACTTTGATGCCAAACTAATTGAATATTTTGATTCTGCTCTTGCTCCGAGGGAGAGAGAGGTTCGCTTCATCTTGTAATTTTGCTGGCATGAAATGATGAGCCGAGCTTTCTCTGGTTCATTTTAAATCTAATTAGCATCACATATTTCCTCCTCACGAGGTCGTGCACGGTTAAAAGGGAAGCATCCCGTTTTAAGCCAATGGCAATTTACCAGCCTGTCGACTAATTCAATAAGCAGGGAAAGGGAATCCTATTTGCTGCTTTCTCTCCGTTTGCACAGCTACACACACACACTAATCACCATGATACGCGATTTACCCAGTGACTAATATTTGCAGACACACCTTCATAATCTGGTCTCTAAAATTAGCCCCTGCATAACAGATAAGCATCGAATTAAGGGTAACAAGGTGGTCACGTTAGGCTCTAGCTACTGGTTCATTATGCATGTGTGGAAAGTATGTTGTCTCAGTTTGCCTCGTTTAAAGTGTTGCTAAAAGTATAAAATGAGACCTTCGTTGTAAATAAATAAGTATGTATAACAGACCAGATTTTGACGCCCATTGGGCACAGATATTTAGAGTTAGTAATAGATGAGTATAGGAAAAGCGAAGAAGGGTTAAGGTCCATGGGCCCTCCAACGACTGCCACACCCACTTAAAGGGAAAAAAGCCACAAAAATAACCATATTCATGTCGCCAAAAATCCAATTTGATCGGATTTTGAAAATCCTCGCAGCATCGTAGTCCCAATTAAACCCGGCATCAAATTCAACTTTCCCTGCACTCATTATTAGGCCCCACAACATGTCCAAAGGGCATCAAAGTCTGGCGTTAAAAGGGTCGTACTACGTTCTCTTCCTAAGTCCTAGTTGCTGCCAGATCACAAGGGTCCGATTGCTTGTAGATCGGACAAGGGACCAATGTTGGATGAACGTGGCACGCACAATCTTCATAAATATATCGAATATTATAGTAATTGAATTCAAAATATTGAATTTAAATATCGATTGAAATACGTAGTCCAAGTTATGAGCAATCGCTGTGTATTTTTTAGTTATGTATCCATGTATCGGGATGAAATATATATGCTCAAATTTTTCCAACTCGAACCGAACGTATAAAAATCATATATTTAATATCGCGGAATATAATAAACCGGATGAAATTTACTCTTGTGCATTCGCATCTCGGGCTGCGAGCACTTGGTGGGAAACAGGGAAGATAAATGTACACACTACATGCCGATTTCAGACTGAAGGTGGCCAGGGTTTCAAAAATCTTCGAGTAATTCCTTTCTTTCCAGAAGTCGGGTAAAAACAGCAAGTCCATGCGGCCAACAGCCCAAGCAACAAATCGTATACAGCAGTGTAAAAAACTTATAATGCACATTTACATATACATTTGTACACATCTAAGTCCTTCGCCAAGCAAATAAATCGAAAGAAAGCGGTTAAACAATGAGTGAAATCACATCCCGTTTAAAAAATCCTGAAAAAGGTAACCCACAAATTGCATAACACGTCTAATTTAAGTTGCAAGGCTCTTGAAAAAACCATTGAAAACGCAGTGAAATCGCAAACCCAGTGAAATCATCGCACTTTGCCCTAAAGAAACCCTTGCCCAAATGACTTCCTACTCGTGGAGAAAGTGAGATATTATTATATTCTCTCGATACCAGAGGAGCATAAAATAAGGAGAGAGAGAAAGACAAGGCCTGCATTTTGATCAGCATCTCTCTCACCACTTTGGCTGACTCATTCGGACGAATTTCGCCAGTCAGTCAGCCAGAGAAAGTCGATTGAGAGAGAAAAATGTCAATTTGATGTTGGCAATGCATCGGAAGTGCTGGGATGGAATGGTGGACTTGAAGTGGGACACTCGCTCGCTCGCTCTCTCACTTTCTCCTCAACTTTCTCTTCCAACACGAAACCATTACGCGAGGGAGAGAGTAAAATTAAATGCCAAACATATTTGAAATGACTTGAGTGACTTGTGGGCGAACAAAAGGAGGGCGACGGCTCGCAAAGTGAGTTGTTGGGGGTTGTGCAGAAGGGGTGAGACCTCTTCTCCTGGGCCGTAGGTCACTCTTCAATGGGGAAAAAATTGGTCCAAAACTAATCACATCGTTTATGCAGGCCTCACTGGAGAGGAATGGATGCCGGTGATGACGACGACGTAAATTTCTACGCTTTTTACCCCAGCAGAATTTCAGATCAAGAGACAGATTCCTTTTCTGGGTGGAGAAGGACAAGTGCAGTAGAGGTGGACATAAAAGTGAAGCCTACTCATCCAGACACCTATAATTCTGTAATCGCGACAAATCGTGTAGGTCTCGAGCCCCACAAGTGAAAACAGGTCCAAGAGGTCAGATTGTGAAATTTCCTTCTATACATAGTGGGTGCAAATCAAGACGTTAGTGGGTCCCAAACGTTTATTTTAAATAATTAATTAATTAATACGTCCAACATTTCCATAAACTTTTCTTTCCAACTTCACGTCCTCGAGATAAATACTACAAAACTTATCCTAACCGCTCCTGGAAAGTCAGAAAAAAAACTTTTTTAGCCCTCGTCACCCACCCAACTGGATCCGAGAAATCATTATCATCCTTTCCTCGCCTTTCATCCAGCACAATTCAACTCTTGACAACAATGCAGCAGCAGCAGCAGAGGCGTCACATGAAGTCAGAGCCAACAAGTCGTCCTAATAACAAAACTCTCCTCTGCTCCATTACACTTCTCGCTCTTTCGATCCGCAGCAGATCTCCGCACTTGAGATCCAATTAAGATACGATTCTCCACTTTCTCTCTCGCTCTCATTCAGCCACAACAACGGAGTCAATTGCTCAGGACGGATCACAGAGTTGTACAAAACGGACGGGAGGAATAATTAGAATGGATCGAGTACGTACCATTGCCACGGCACACAATATAATAATGAACTGCATGCCAAATTACATTTTAATATCAAAATTTAATCTCGCCTCTCCCAATTGATTACCCGACAAAGCACTACACACGGTAATTGAGACAGAAACCTCATAAATGTGGGAACGAGGAATTAATCTAACATGAAAACTGCCAATAATAGAATAGACGTACAAAAGGAATGGTAATAATAAATGTAGTTCAAATTGAGTATTGTGTTCGGTTCTACTTCCTCTTCCGACTCAGAGTCGCACCAGATTTCCCACTCTTTCGCACCATAGAGGCTGAAGTCCCCTGAGATAATAAGTAGAATAGAATTGTGAGATTAAAAATGCATGCATAATTTACGAAATCTGGGGATGAAAATATGTACATACCGGACGAGTTGTGTCACCAGCAGTTTCATCTTGATCTTCTGGGGAGGCAAATGCTGCCTTGAAAGTTCTCGCCTCAATCCGGAAGTCGCGAGCTGTGCTGAGTTTCATGCCGACGAGCATGTCAATCTGGACAAGGATTGAATACAAAATAGAAATATTTAAGTTAACAGGACAAATTTAAACAGCAAACTAATGTTTAATTAGTTATACCTTCACTTTCTTTGAGAGGGCTATAACAAATTGGTCGAATCTTTCGACGTGGTACACCAAATTTGGCACGAGTTTGGTATCCCTGGAAAGTTGGGCCCGCAAATAGGCAGGAAGTCTGGTCGACTTTTTTCCAGCCGTGGCAGTCTCAATTTTGCTGCGTTGTACACGCTGAAAGATAATCAAAAGGTTGCAAAGAATCTATGCATATCCGCCTCAAGACAAGGATGAAACACTTGAAGTATTAAACATTCAAGTTAACTGTGTAGCGTTGTCAATAGTGTAAGTTCTTTGAGATGGGTGGACAAACTGCAATACGGATTGGCGAGAGGCGCATACAAAGGAACTTACAAAGCTTACAAGATTAGTGTGAATTATGATGTTTGATTGATACCTCGACATATTCTATCATCGTTTCAATCTTTGGCTTCATATCCTGTCCGAGATCCGTCACGATCGTTTTGAATCTGCATAAATTACAATAGTTATTAATTCAATGTGTATACAAAAATATATTTAATTCGAGTTGTCCCACCCACCCACGAATATGGGCGGAATGCGAAACGTATCGATTCACATCAATTAAGTGTTCCGCAAAGCTGGAGAGGACGCTGTAATAGCTGGCGACTAGTTTGAGCATAACGGCGACGCAAGGTCCCGCATCGAACTTACTGACCACCAACTCTCGAATGATTCGACGCAGGCATTGAATCATTTCAAAAGATTTGTCACGAATTTCGACGCTTCGATCTTAATCATAACCAAAAATTTGATTAGACAATTTACATGATGGAAATTGTCAAAAAAAGTTTACCATTTCCCAAATATAGTCGATGTGCTTTCAACCGGCCGAGGACTGTGTTCAAAATGGAGATCTGCTTCTCTGCATAGGTGGCGAGACACATCAGCAAAGTTGGCGATGTTTCTGTTGTCACGAACCAAGAGAACAAGCTTCGAGCGGGTGTTGTAGGATCAGCATCCTTCAAAAATTAACACCAAAGATAAAGCAAATGTATAATGATTGTTACTAACGTTCTCTAAAAACGAACCGAGTCCATATTTCCCAGCGTTAATGGCACAGCTTTCGCCAACTTTAAGGCATTTCCCTTTGTCTCGGACGAGTACTCGTGGCACTTTACGTTGCACGTCAGAAAAGTAGAAACACCAACGTCGAGCAATTGTGGGGACGCCTCTTGGTCGGAAGTATTTGTCTTAAAGTGTGTCCAGCACCAGTTGTGAACCTAGAGTCAATATTAAGTCGAGATGTGACAAATTGATTAAAAGATATATATATTTCAACCTTTTCGAGCACGCTGATAACATCGATCGATTTGCACACGGAATGAAGGATGCTAAAGAGGAAGATGTTGGCCTTCGAGCGGAGTCCGTCATGCACGGAGGTCGCCATGCTCAAAATCTTCAACCATTCCTCGAACATGGCTCCACAGAATTCCTCATCGTCACGGGGAGTCCCTTGCACTACATCAGGGATGAAATATGTTACTTTAAATTCAATCTCTAGCTTTAACTTTGGTAGCTCATAAAATTTACACTGTTACAAACAGGTAAATAAGGTAGCCAAACAAAATTAACTTCAAGTTACTACGTACTATATTTGTTAAAGTATTTGACCCTGATGTTGAGGCCCTCATTGTAAAAGTAGTCCATCACATTGGCCACAACTTCCAATCGGGCCTCGAACACTTCAGGGCCTTCGGAGGGGATGACTTCGTCATCGCTGTCATTGTTCAAGTTGTCTGTCCAAGAACGCTCGTTGGCTGCCACGTGTTGCCAAATGGTCCTAATTTAGATTACAAATTAGCATGACATAATTATACAAAATCGGCGTAGATACATAGTTTGCGTACTCGATCAAGTAAGTCAACGAATTGAGCGTGTCCACCGGAGCACGTTGTCTCTCACGGATGGATTCCTTCCCCTTAAGTCTCGCCACTTTGTCTTTGACCGTGTCCAGCAGCATCATTTCAAAGTCGTCGTCACCCCAGACCGAGTTCAAGTGATCTGCTTTGTCCTTCGGTCTGCAAAATTTCAGACAACAAAAATTGAAACTTATTTAGATAGTTTTATGCACATTTCTCATATACCCGTAAAGTTCCCTTAGCATTAGACACACGCTGTCCAAATTGATAATGTGGACGTGTCGGGGTGGTTTCAGTGTAGGTGCGGGCTTCCGAAGTGCGGGTGATGCGGTGGCAACAGCTGCAGTTCCAGTGTCTGATCCGGACGCGACGATCGCCGAATCGTCGACTTGCGTGGCAACTTTTGTGGTATTTCCCTTTTTCTTAGCTGCTGCTGTTTTTCCTTTACCTTTTCCTTTCCCTCCCCCGCCCTTACCCTTCTTCGCGTGCGCGCTCTCCTGTAACAATTATACAACGACATTGTTAAAAATATTAGCCGTACTCATATATCTCCGTATGCATGAATACTATGAGTACTGCAAGAGCAAGCGCCCTGGTTAAAGACCAAAATACCTTCATGTACTTTCCAAATGCTGTGTAATTCCTGAAAATCTTGGCAACTTTCTGCTTCGCTTGGGGCCATTCAGAAACCAAAGCCAAGAACTCCATCAAAGCTTCCATCATTTGCATGGTTTGAATACAAATATTGTCCCGGACGAAACGAATGATGTCGTCGGTTAGAATGCCAGACTCGCCAATAATAGAGGACGTGACCTACATATTACATTTATATACATAATTAACACAATTTGAAATTTATACCAAAATAATTTCCTTATTTGCTTACAATTTCAATAATATTCGTTTCAATCGACCCCGCAAAATTGATGAGTTTGGCGAGAAGTTCTTTGCAATTGGTGAAAAACGTTGTGTCCGAGAGGCTGTCCAAGAATTGGCCCCTGCCGATGGTGGTTTTATTGTGGACAAAGCCAATGCACTGGACGAGGAAGCCGAGTTGGTCCTTAATATAAAATTAAACGAACCGTTAGGTATACACGAATATGAAAAATGATTAAAACAAGATAATCAAGTTACCTTCAAAATCGCTTTGCAGATTTCACTATTTGGCTTAAATTCGAACAGCGCTCGGTAATTGATTCTACAATCGGATGTATCGTCATTCCAAAACTGACCCATATGGGAGTGGAGCTGACCGGAAATTACGTCATTCACTATTGGATTCCGTCTCGCGACGCGGTGCAAGCCTAGAAAAGAGCCCATTTTAAACTTGGTCGTTACTGTATTAGCATACAGTAATACGTCCAGTAGTTACTGGTCATGTAACAGATTTCAATTATAGTTTTGGCAATGTGAATAGTAGTCAATTGTTTTCAAGCGAAAATTGTACACCAAATCGAAGATATTTCAGCTCACGACATACATTTTGAATCGTTGTCAGTCTTATATATTCGTGAATAATTACAAATTATTAACTAGCGAATTACGACTTTTCCTCACCGAGGTAGAGCTGCTCCCTAACTTTATGGTCCAAAAGGAAGAAGCGCTTTCCAAAGTTTAAAACTTCTCGACAAAGTGGCGAGAAGTCAGCGCTCGTACTGTTGCGCGCGGCTGTCTGCGTCAACTGGCTCATGATTAAATCATCATCAACTGCCTCCGGAACAAATTGTGAGCTTCCCACGATTTGTGTGTTGCTCAAAATTACACAAATTATCTCAATACAGATCCGTCCTTGGTCGACAGTTCTAGAATTGAGAACAATTATATATATTGCATTTAGACTGCTATGTTAAATTTTGAACACAAAATTAGTCAGCTTACTTCCAAAACGACTTTCTCAAGACAATCATCAAATCATCGAGCAGAGTAGGTGCCATTTGGAGCGAAGGGAGCAATGATTTCATAATCGCGGACGCAGACTCGACCGACATTGTCGGCAAGTGATGGAGCAGTTCACTAATTCGGCCTTGAAAGTTGCGATTTATAAGCGTTCTGCAACAAATTGTGAGACAGAGTGCCAAACAATCTGATAAAAAGAGGAAATTTGTTACTCTCATTACATGGTTAAACATTAATCAATCAATCAATTCACGCAAACTTTACTTAAAAACACATTAATCCAAAGAACTATGTTAAATAAATACGTTTTGGTGGGCTAACTGATTTAATTTACCAATATGCGCCGGTGATTTTGGTTTCAACAAGTCTTTGAGAAGGGGACCCAGCTGGTCCTTGTCTTGCGTGACGACGGTGGTGATAAGGAAGGTGCCCAGCTCCTTGCAGCGAGTGAAAGTTAGGGGGTACTTCCACTGGTAGCTCCCACTGCTGAGGAGACTAATTCCCAGTTCTTTCAATCCGTCCGACATGTACTCCATGGCTTTTGTGCTATGTAAATTATGGGTCAATTAAAGCCAACATGCAATTAGGGTAATTAATTAAGAACTAGGTACCCATTCTTCACGACGTATTTGAAACATTCCATGATGTCATCTTGGATATCACCAATGGTAGTTTTATACCATAAGCTAACATCGCAGAGGTTCAATTCGTGGAAATTTTTCAGGATGGCGATTTTCAAAGGTTCCGTAATCTGGAGAAAGAAAAGGCATCTAACAATCAATATGAAATTTGGATAAATCTTATCCACTCCCATTTCGTGAGACTAATTAATTTAATTCCTGGTTTTAGACACACTACAAAATATATGCACTATTTATTAACTCTTACCGGCCCTCTCAAATAATCCACGCTCGTAAAGGCCAAAATCACTGAGAGCATGAATGGCGTCATGACAAGGGTATGATCAAAAATGGCCCCCTTGACCCGTTTTACAATTTCTTTTACAATGGGATCACAGTTTTTCGAAGCGTCGACAAAATTGCAGGCTACGATGCCTAGTTTGACACCCTGGATGACGTTCCTCTTTCCCTTCTTGGCCTGCTTCGCTGAAGTGTCATTGTTGGCTCGTTTTTCTTCCGCCTCCTCCTTCTCTTGCAAATAGATGAAGAACTTGTCGTACGTTTGCAGGAGGCGAGCGGGGCGGAGGGAGCCCGTTATGGTGACGATCTGTTCGATACACGAATGGACGACGGTGGGTGGCATGGTGCGCAGGGTGGAGCTAAATTTCTCCAAGATGCTGTCCACCTCAGATCCATCAATCCCCACTATTCCCCTAGATACGAGATTGAATTAATTTCAAACTTCTAAGCCAAGTCCTTTATTTAGTGTTCTTACTCCAACACCGTCAAGTACGACTGAAAGACCGGCCTGGACCAATCCATCCGGCAAATCTCTTCAACAACATTTTTCTTCATTTGTTTTCCATCAATGATATCCGACTCATGTGGGATTTCACCTCTCTCCCCAAGCACGGCAACAAATCGGATAAAGATTTCAGTCCAGCTGCAATAATATATATATTTAAAAATTCTACACGGCTACATACTCGTCAAGTCACCCAAACACACAAAAAACGCATAGACTCAAATATATCTTAAACTGATCGCCTTAATACTCAGGTCCTACGCATAACGCTCGATCTCTCTCTCTTGTACATAATTTTCTTATTACACTTTATGTATCTCTTGCACTCACCGACTACTCAAACTGTCAGACCGGTCAGCATTCTTCATCTCGACGAGGGCATGTTTGAACAAATACTGTGCCAAAACGGAGGAAGTGATGTTTCGAATGGCCGAAATGAGGCATCCCATCATGTCTTCCATGATCTGCGATGGAAGCGACCATTGACCTTGAGCGAGGCCGAAGAGAGTTCGAAGGAGCTGAGAGAAATGCACGATTTTACAGAAAATAGGTTTGTATGCGTAATTGTAACTTTTTTCTTACCACAATCGTACTCTTTTCACTGGTCAGACTCTCATTGACCTTTTTGGAGATGAGGTATGTCCGCTTAAAAAGTTTTCGCAAATATTCAACACTTTTTACACCTGTTTCGATTTTTGCTCTTTTTTGTAACTCCGAGTGAAGAAATGTTATCGCCTGATTAAAATAAGGATTAAATAAAATTCAAGCTTGCCATAACTTTTTTGTAGTGATAAATTAATTTATAACTATTTACTCACCGGGCCCGAGCCTTCTTTTAATTTCTCCAAGTATTCGTCCCACTCGGGGTCATATTCCTCCACTGGTGTCACGTATTGGACGACCCTGTCAGGGAGACAGCAGGTCGCCTTGACCTTGGAGGAGATTTCGGCCAGGGTGGTCATTATCTTGGTTTTCGCCAAGATCGCAACTCACTCAACCTTTGAACCCGTGAAGACAGGTAAGCAACAGGTTAAACTGAAAATAAAGTGAAAAAACTATTGATCTAATTCCAAATTTACTTTGCACACCCAAGAAATCACAAATTACTATAAATCACACCCAAGAATTCACAAATTACTATAAATCACACCCAAGAATTCACAAGCAAAACTATTGACCTCTCTAAGCTAATTTGTAAACCAATTAATTTGGACTAACTTGTAATGACTTGATATCTATTGGCACGTGAATAAAAGATTACTTGACTTGACTTTTCTAAGGAGTAGGGTGTCAGACGGTGGCAGTCACAGATTTTGATGTCATTTGGAAATATTACTTTATTTATTAGTGTGCAAAAAGTGAAGGAGGGTTAAACTCCATGAGCCCATTTACGCCCGCCACACCCCCTCAAAGCCGCCAAAACCCTCAGAGTTGTCGCACTAAAATCATCTCCAAGAATCGAGTTTTGTTCAGATTTGGATGAAATTTACGTTTTTGTGACCCAAAATAGTTTCTCTATCATATCCAATCGCAAACTCAATTTTTTTGACAAGGGTATTGAAAGAATTCGAAAGTTCAGTTTGCGATTGGATATGATAGAGAAACTATTTTGGGTCACAAAAACGTAAATTTCATCCAAATCTGAGCAAAACTCGATGTTTGGCGATGATTTTAGTGCGGCAACTCTGAGCGGCTTTGAGGGGGTGTGGCGGGCGTAAATGGGCTCATGGAGTTTAACCCTCCTTCGCCACTTTTTGCACACTAATAAAGTAATATTTCCAAATGACATCAAAATCTACTACCAACCTCTGACACCGAAGAGAAGACCAGTAAGAAAAGCTCATTCCATCGAATATGTCCAATCTCAAAATTTGATTGATGAAATGAATTGAAATGACGAATTAGCTAAGAAATGACAATAGTTGATGCCACTTACCTAGGGAGTGACCTTTTTGGTGACGACGACGACCCTCACTTGTGACGAAAGATCAAAAAATCAGCAAATCGAGGGAGCGAGCGAGCGAGAAGAGCACAAAGAGTGAGTGAGTGAAGACAAGTCAGTTTCTCTTGGCGGCCAAAGATTCGAGTGCCCTCACAACTTTGTTCACCAACCAACCAGAAAATTCCCACCTCTCCACTCGTCCCAGTTTCATGCAAAAATCCATGAAAAATCCTGTCACTCAACAAGCCTGGACTTTGAATTAATTGGTTACACTCTTCTTCTTCTTCTGCATTAAGATATGTATTTGTTTTTTATTGGAAAAATAGAAAAGTCGGCGTATAAAAAGTACAGCAATGTATGTAATAACGTCTACATATATTATTTGTGTATCTACATGTGTCGTTTAAATAAGTACGTTAAGTATAGGACGGAAGGATTTCATAGTTTCACTCTCATTCCACAGTAGTCACCTGTCACCTTCTAAAGGGTTTAAACTGTGTCCGAGCAATGGGTTAGACGGGTGTTTAACCGCATCTTCATGTAATGTGTTCCTTGGTATCATCGGTAGTCAGTTAATTAAGTAAAATTATTATCTGATTGGTTCACGGGTTCAGTTTTCAGCGTGATGATTCGTTTTGTAACTCATAAATTCTGCCATTGTTTCTTACCCATACCAAATCTGTCCTTATCTCGAAATCACAAGTGTGCGAAAGACATGTCAACGAAAGAGTGGAGGTTTGTAACTTTCACTAATAAAGTTAAGTATATGTGTACGTAAATATAACAGTATTTTGGGAAAATAAAAAACAAACAAGATTCACGTAAGACAAAATATTTCCAAACCACGTATAATTTTTCTACGGCTACCTTTTCAACACGCCAATCTCTATTCGTGTATAAACGATTCATGATTTAACATCATTGTTATTTTTATATAAATTTAACCAACTATTAAATTTCCAGACTTGTTAACTTATTACTTCACATTTTTCACAGACATTTAACAATAACAAGTAAGAGTATTCCTGAAATAACAGATAATTAAATTTCTGTATTACTTAATTTAATTTAATTAATCTACAAAATAAAACGTTTTTGTAAAGACGTATGTACATATGTAACAGAAATGTCGTGACATGTAAAATATCGGGGATAGAAAATAAGTTCCTAGTTTCTTTTTTAAGTAGTCTCATAATTAATCATCATTCATAATAATATCACTACCAACCTGACAAAAATTGATTAGCTCAAGATAACCTTCACAACCTTATCTTGAAGTAATAACAATAAGAAAATTCACAAAGCAAGATCTTTATGCATATAACTTATCGGCTTCTGAAAACATGTAAGCAATTAGCAATTCTTCTAGACAATAAAAGAAAAGTTCAGCAGGTTTATTCTAAGTAATAGGTATGGCTACGTATTCAGTAATCGGAGATGTCACGACACGCCCTTTGACCTCTTAATTTCATTCTGGAAATTGCAAGGATTGATTACATTTGAGACGGGTAGGCGTGATGGTGGTGATCTCTGAACATGGGAGAGGCCGACCGTCCCATGAATTGCTGGTCGTTGTTACTCGACACGGATTGGATTTCCTCGTGACCGTTGATAAATCCCCCGCCGCCACCTAGGTCACGTAAAACATGGGCATTTTTCAATATTGGCCACTTTCATACGAATCAAGTCTAAGCAAGATTAACAAGAGGAATTAAATGCTTTCTTTCGGTCGCCGTTGTCATACCTTGGAAATTTGGCATCTGATTGAGATATGGGATTGGAACAGAGCCCCTTCGAAGGAGCAAGTGAACAGAAGCACCGCCCGTCTTGATTAGATGGATAGCTTGCGAATGTGTCATCCCGTGCGTGCTAATCCCATTAATCTGCAAGATTTGGTCACCCACCTAAACAGAAAAGTCCTATTTTACTCAAGAATCACATCAACACCGTTCTCAGCTAAATTATTTTGCCCAGGGATTAGTTCTGCACATGCGAAGTGGTTTGTCACCAAAACTTTTGGTAAGTATTTTTAAGGTTATTTGTTTCCATATTTATCGACATACCTGCATCCTCCCATCCCCCGCAGCAGGACCATCCTCTGCCAGTCGGAGGACGAACAATGGCATATTCTGGAATTCTTTGCCACCCCGGATGGAGAAACCAAAGCCACGATTCCCTCTGCTCAAATGGACAGAGAAGACTTGGTCAACCCCATTGCTGTCCATGGGGAACGAGGAACCACTGTGGCTGTGAAAAATATTTTGTTATTGCGAAATATACGAGTGTGATATTCCTGAGCATGATGTTTACATACTTGGATCCAAAGTGGACCGGTTGACTTTCCGGATTGATGAAGGCCGTCCCCATGTCGTAGCCTAGATTGTTGTCCTTCAGCGTAAAGTTTTCCATGTCGGTCGTCATCATGTTGTTGTGGTTGATGGGGGAGAGTTGTGAGGAGGTTTGTTGTTGCTGCTGCTGCTGCGGATGGTGCATCCCTCCGCCGTTGGGGTCAATTTGTACTGGAAGGACGCTCAGGGTGAGCATGAGGCCGGAATCTTTGATGAGCTGGACGACCTGGGAGTGATGCAGTTGAGAGATTTCGGTCTGATTTACAGCTAAAATGCGATCACCAACGTTGAGGTGACCACACCTGTCCGCCGGACTTCCGTCCACAATGCGACCTAATGAAAAAAATTATGTTTCAGTACAAATTCACATACTCGATAAGGGTTCATAAATTTTAACATTTTGTGTCCATACCGATCGTCGCCCCAGCTTTTGAAGCACTCGAAATGATGACGAAACCAAATCCTTCGGACGGCTGTCTCTTTAGAATAACGTGGAGCGGAGTCTGAAATCCTGCCGCAGGAGAATGCGACGGCGTGGTCACGGTCCCCATCTCCATGGCCGGTGGGACAGGATTTACGGCGTAGATGGGTCTCCGCACCGTCAGTCTGACCCTGTGTGCCGACGCGGCTCGTGCCATGAGTTGGACCACGGAATGGTGGGAAGCTCCAATGACGGAAATACTGTCCACTGCTATGAGCTGGTCGTTGGTTTGGAGACGACCGTCAACAGCCGCCGCGCCGCGGGGGACAATGTGACCCACGGACACTTGCGATCCCTCCTCCGTCCCTCCCACGATGCGAAAACCAAATCCTTCCTGACGTCTCTGCAGCTCGATCGTCATCTCGATCCAGTCCCTGAAACGGAAGGAACAAGCAAATTATAGAAGGATTTTATAAATCTGTTTATTTTGAGAACAAACTGAATGGTAGTTGCCATCTCCGTTTGACTTAATGGTGTCGATTTTCTGCCCTTTTCGTCTCCCAAAGATTTTAATTTTTCCAGGGATAAACTGAGGAAAGCTACGTTCACTATTTCATCCGTCTCTTCTTCTTAATTAAGTCTCACCTTATGTTGGCCGCATGATGGTTGAGATCTCCCACTTCCCCAGGAGTGACCCTCCCCTCGTTACTGTTTCCCATTCCTCCGGGCGACAACATGGGATGGGCGGCAGGATGACCTTGGACATGGATGCTGTTCGGACTGAGTGGCCCATTCCCGTTGTACATCGCGGCCCCACCATCGCCATTGTAGTGACCATCGAACACGAACACGGGCGTTTTTGACCTCTCGGGTAGACTGTCCCTCAACCTGGGTCGACTCCTCCCCAAGTCTCCCGCTGTGGGCGTCTTACTCCGTGGAGATATCCCCGCACTGTTCAGCGTCACCCGGGAATCGGAGTAGTCGTTGTTACCGGGGCTGAACTTCTTGCTGAAGACTTGTGAATGGACACGTTGGACCGTGAGCGATGCGTCGCGCCCCAGCGGAAAGTCCTTCAGAATTTGGACAACTTGAGTATGACTGAGACCGCGAAGGTCGATTCCGTCGATGGCAATGAGTCGATCCCCCTCATCCAAACCGCCGCAGTGGGTCGAGTCCAGAACCTTTTTTACCTGTGGGGGACAGGTGGCAATGTTAGGGAACAACGTCAAGATTCCCGTCGTCACAGTGGGAATTGTATTTATTTCTACCTTTTGTCCGTTGAGACTGTCGGCAATGGTGAACCCAAAGCCGGCCGTGCCCTTGTTTATGGCCACCGTGAGAAACGTCCCATTCTCCATGGGACGGCCCACGTGTTTCGGCGAGAACCTTTTGTCCGAGGAGCGTTCCCCGAGTAGGTCGACACTGGCGGGGCGGCCGGCCTTCCCGTACCCTCCACCCCCACCCCCCATGATCCGGTCACCCGACAGCTCCGGAAGGGAGTGGGCGGAATGGGCAAGACTGTCCGGTGTGGCAGCTCGTGTCGTCCATTCCAACCTAGTTGAGCAACACGTGGTCAATGCAACATACTTTCACCAGCTTGTTTGCATTATTGCAAAAATTGTGTTGTAGTCAGTACTGTATTTTGGTTTGTACGAGGATGTAGCTGTAAAACACGCTCTTTCTACTTTGAGTAGAATTTGTCGAATTAGTGTGATTACTGTTGAAATAGTTTTGCACAAAAATCAAACCGTTCCTTTTAAATTTGAACTCTCCAGAATGTAAAATTCTATATTTAAATTCCTTTAAACGTTTGTGCGGTTGAAAATTAGGTTCGTGTCGCTTCCAGCCCTTAATTTGGCAGATTGTTGGAGGAATTTACGCTGACTTTTAATAATTTTAAGTAGAATAGTGGAAATTCACCTCTTATCTCCATTCGGATTGAATGGTTCCACCGCGATGGTTGTAACGATTTCCGTGTTGGGATCGGACGGGTCGAAAGGGAGCGGATAACCGCGACAAACCTCCAAGTGAACTTCCTCCCCGGGGGAAATGCTCTGAAATATGGAGACCATCTCCTGATGCGTGTAGCCCAGAACACAGCGCCCATTCACGCGGACAAGAACGTCCCCCGTTCTTAACTTTGCGTCACGCCAGGCCGCTCCGTCAGGAACAACAGATCTGCAAAAATAGTCAGGACAATTTGAAACTTTTGTGCATAACAAAATGGCTGAAGTTCCCTTGTCACTATCGCTCCGCCGATTTTGCCGCACTGGGCAGGATGTACATTTATTTACATTTTACAAGCACGTTAAATGTGAATGAGATGCCTCAGAAGTAAGTCGGACAGAGATGACGAGAGAGAGCGAATTGACTCACTTGATTTGTAGGAACTCGTCCAACCCGTCGTCATCGTCTCCCCCAACAATCGTGAAGCCTAACCCACGCGACGATTTGACAAGAATTGTTCCAATCCGCTCCCCAACGAGTTGAGTCGGATCTCTGGTGAAGAATCTGTTGGGCGATCGCTCCATCGTCTTCACTTTCAAGCCACTCAGACCACCACTGAATTTCGGTATCGCAGAGGACGAGGGGTTATGATTGGACATGAGGGTGGAATGACTATGAGTATGATTTTCAAGAGTTGTGTCGGGTGTTTTCCCTCTCGGGATGGACAGTCGATTGTTGTGATTGGAAGGCTTGGGGTTTGGTGGGGGAGGGTTAGCACTAGAATATCGGGGTGGGAAATTACCCCCGGGTGGGGGTCGACTCTGACTTTGTTGACCATCGGCAAGTAGTTGTTGGTCGGTTAGTCCTACTTTGCTACTGCTGCTCGTGGGGGTGGTTTGTTTGGCCTGGAGGACTGGGTTCTCAAACTGGGTTCGTCGGTTGACATGGTCGATGTAGTAGGTGCCGTAGTGGGGATCGTCGATCCGCTCCCAGCCGAAGGGCAACTCGTTGTCGTCACACTCCTCGAGGGACATTTTCTGCACACGGGATAAACGAGGATCCAACCAATGCGAGGTTCCCGTATTGTGACTAGTGGCAAAATAAATTAAACAAATAACTCCATATCCTTTAAGCTTAAAATCGTGCTAAATACACAGAAAGTGTCGTGGTTTAAATCCTTCTGTCGTGGTTACAAGTGTGGCTTACTCGATGAAGTAGACCTCGCCCTTCTCCGTGTAGGCCATCTCCCAGTTGGAGGGAAGCGGACCCAGCTCGTCCTCCGGGGGTTGGAAGCGTGGTGAGTAGGTGATTGGAGGCACGGTGGGAGGACCTCCACTGCCACCACCTGCATTTGATGGCTGGTCTTCATTAGCGTCATCCCCTGCGCCCAGGGCTTCGACATTGGACCGATTTCGCCTCCGCTTTCCCTCAGAGGAAGGGTGCATCCCTGGCAGAATTGTCCCCTTGCTCGTCATCATCATCGAGTCTGAATTGTTCAAAGAGCTGCCGACAATACTCATGCTATTTCCGCCAACCCCACCACCGGCAAGCATGGAGGACTGGTTACTCATCTCACGAGCTCGGTTCGCCCAGGGTTTCGGAGTTCCGTAATGATTTCCTGAAATAGTAAAAAATACAAGACCATGAAAATGGTTAAATCACAATTATAATTAAATAATACGTGAAATGGGCTTTAGTTTCCCATTTCATTGTGATTGACGTGCCCCCAATTTTTTGGGGGTCGTCACTACGGGCGAAATTGTGGGCTCCCCGTTCTCCCAACGAGCACTAAATACACACTGTGCAAATTAACTTACCGGCATAAACCCCACTCTCGAGCAGACTCCCGTTCCTCTCCAGTTCCATGAACTCCTCCTGGGACAGGAAAGTGTAGTCTACATCGTTGATTTCGCCGGGTCTGGGCGGTCTCGTCGTGACGGGGACGGTTCGGAGGTAGAGATTGTCGCGAACGACGCCTTGCAAGGCGTGGTCGACGGAGCCCTTTTGAAACCTCGTGTTCAAATAAGATCTCAATTCGGGACCCAGACTTCCTACGAGGTCAAAAAACATGTCAAATAATGATAAGCCCCAGGAGCACTTGTTGCATAGAAATATGGCAAAAGAAACGAACCTCTGGGAGCGACGGTGAGATGCGTCGTGTGATTGGCAGGGTTTGATCTGAGACAGTGATGGAGCAGGGAAAGGACGTCGGCCTGCGTGTACCCAGCAACCTGAGAAGGCCCAAAGAATGCTTATCATTCAACTCATTCTCGCAAAACTTATCTAAAGTAAGAACTGTCCACATTCCTCCTAGCCCGATAACACCAGTGATAAGTGTATTATCACTTGAACCACTTAACTATACTGCTTGTTAATTATTATTATGTGTGCACCCCTCACTCACAGATTGAAGAAAATGCCAACGAAGAAATCTGATAAATCGTTCCTCTCTGGTCGCTCTGTTGCTTTTAACTAAATCACTCCAAGAAGAAGAAGAAGAATGCGAATGCACTCTTTTTGGCTCAGGCTCAACATTTTACATTAACACGCGATATCATCTCTCTCTCACACAAGAAGAAAACTTCAGCAGCGAGTTAAATTCCAAAACTGCAAGTGATTTCATGATCTCAGACGGACAGCCATCCATCCATCCATCCATAAAATAATTATTACCTTTTTAACAGTAGCACATTTTTACGATGTTGTCGATAAGAAGGCTGATGGCGACGGCGTTATCTCGCAAAGAGGGCGAAAGATTTGTGTAAGAGATCGTTCATTAATTATGTCAGGGATCAACAGGTCAGGCTCGTATGACACGTTAAAACGGGGGCGGTTTAAAACTTGTAACACGTAAGTAACGAATGTTCCTAAGAAGAACAAGATGCTGAGTAAATCAGTCCAGCTAGAAGAAGACGAGGCAAAAATAATATGTAAGTCCACGTCCTGGCAAAGAAAGAAAGCCATTAAAACTAAAGTAAATATGCCTGTGTGTCCATGGAGGTGAAGACGTTATCTGTAGATAAACAAGCAACTGCGGAAATCGGATATGCACAAGTCAAGAAAGTAACCCTACATTTATCTTTTACATAAACATTTCAACATAATGGTGGAAAAATAAGTAGGATGTAAATCTCCTCTCCGGTTTCATTCAGCCGAGATTGAGACAAATAAGAAAGTTATGGATTCCGTTCCCGTCCGTACGAAATGTGTAGTTAAATTGTGTTGGTATTACTTTACGGATCTTTACGGTGATGATGACGATGGTGGGTCGGGGGGAGACGGAAAAATGTGTAAATAAACAAGTCAGAAAAGATGTAAATTGTGGTGTTAGGTTTTAAAATTAAAAGAAAAAAGCCAGTATATTTTCCTGTCACGTCACATGTCATTAGGTGCAGCATGCCATTTTTAAACACTTTCACATTCTCTTCCTGTGACTCAACCTCATATTTACTCTACGACCCACCACATACGTAGATATTTATTATTCACTCCACCAACCATGCAAAGTGGTACGACAAGGATAATAATAATAAATCTGCATTTTTTAAATAGCCGAATCGTCTCAGGAGGAGTGAAATAATACTAATTTTTCATTCTCCATCCACTTCATGTCAATCGTTGTAACCGTAATATTTATGTAAAAAAAAGTTTACCGAAATCTGCCTAAATACTTTGTCAATCTGCAGAGCTCTAAATTTTTCTTGCGCACACATGTCACAAAATTTGCATACACTTTTAAAAATGTGGCGTTAGAGTCTCTCTTAAATTATTTGCTTGCTAACAAAAAAATTCATAAGGAAGGAAGCCGAGTCACCCACCTGTTGCCCCTGCACGTCCAGGATGATATCACCACTTTGCAAGGAGCCGAAATCAATCCAAGCATCTATCTCGCCCGTGACCTCGCCCACATATGCGAACTGGCCGTTTTCCGACCCTCCATCAATGTCCAGGGGGGGTGGGCCCCCATCGTCACCGTCCTCGTCACCCTCCACCCGGCTTTCTTTGGCAATGCTACTAGTACTATTTAAATCTTGTGACTGTGGGGGCGGAGGCGGCGGAGGTGGTGGCAGTCGTAGGAAGACTTGACGAAGAAGTTGACTCCAGTGACCTCCCCCATTTCGGATTTCTTCGAATAAGTCTCTATTGGGGTTTGGGCGGGAGGGGGGAGGCCCACGGATTGGGGGAGGTTGACCTTGAAGCTCTTCCAGCTCCGAGTTATTGTTCTGGTCGTTGTTGGAGTGGTGGAGAAGGACGTGGCTCGTGCGGGAGAGCGGAGTGGTCCCATGGTTCACGGGGGGAGGAGGTGGTCGGCCGTACTGGGAGGAGGTAGTACTCGGATAAAAGTCTGGACCATTGTTCCCATTGTAGTCGTCGTTGCCGTTGTCGTTGTGGTGGTGGTGATGGTGATGGACGGGGTTCGACGACGATGATGACATGATTCCAGTGTCGGGCATGATTAATATGGATCTCTTATCGTGGTTAGGGGTACTTTAATAACTCGAATTAGCACCCAAATCAAGAAGGGTAAATAGTTTACGTATAAAGCAAATATGTATTGTTGGAAGGGTCAGGATTCTGACAAACTTGACACTTTTTATCTCTTAATATCAAAGTGTGTAATTAATAGTTCAGTCGTATTATTATGTTGTCATATCCTTCTTCGATAGGTGTGTATCAAGTGTTAAAAGGCACAGTCATCAAGCTCGATTTAATAAACCGGGGTCAATTCTTACATTTTTGAGCAATTCGATTCTTTTCAAGTCCACTTTTTCATGATTAAGAATTTACGTGTCATTTTTTGTGAATCTTCTCCAGTTTTATCTTAAAATCATCCCATTTTCACGATATCTCAGTAATTGGTGGCAATAAAACTTGTGTTTTTCCCGACAATGCCATCCATTCCGTTTTTTTCAGATTATAACCTTTGCCTTGATAAAATTGTGATTTTCTCGATAAGTGCACCGAGCTGAGAATGATGAGATTGTCAAAGCACGCTAACTCGATGTCAACCCGTCTCCACCAAAATTAGTCGACTGACATTACGACACCAAAAACACTTTAATTATGACCATTCCCCGTCACACAAACAAACGCCACTTAAAATCACTCGTATATATTTACATGTCTTCACGCATTTTGGCACACTTAGTTTTTCCTCCTCCATCATCTCCTGGCACGAGCAAACTTGTGGAAAAAATTGAAATTTTGTATCACATTTTTTAACAGCTAAAAACCAAGTGTTAATCAAAAGGTATTTGGTAGTCGAGGGGAAAGTAGTACAATGCACACTACATCATGAAAATTTAGCGTCATGACATGACGACCACGCCAAGTTTAAGAATTTCAAACTCATTCATTCCTTCCTCACATCGTTAATTAGTCAGAATTGAGTCAACATTTTTTCCCTTCAAATTTCATCAACTCGACGTTCGATTCAAGTATTTATTATATCCGTCGTTGGTTGGGTTACTTTTTCTTGAACTGAACCACTCAAGTAAAAAAACGCACAAAACTTGACCACTCTTCTCTCTCGCTCTTTCTCTCCTTGATTACCAAATTCTTGGGCCCAAGAGTTTTACACTGGTCAAAAATCCGACCAAATTCGCTCCAAACAGCTTTAATTTTTAAATTTAAAGTTTATTTGACACCCCAGCTGCGTGTAGCCTCCTATGTAAAGTGACTAAGTAAAAGGAGGCTGAATTTGAGAGAGGCCAGTAAAATAATAATACGACGGATTTTTTACTACTCCTATTGTCACTATGCCCTCTCCTGTAATAGAAAATGATGCTATACACTGGGGGACACCGTATTACATACACCAGCACGATTTTACTTTAACAATGAGAATAAGAATTCAAATAATATTTTACTATCCATCCGTCCATCCATCCCCCTCTTTTTCCCATCCCTTCTTCTTCTTCGTCCACCACCTCGTTTTATATGCCAGCAACCACTTTGAAAAAGATGACAGAAAAGCGTGGATTGGACCAACTTATTTTCTCGACGAGAGGGACGGGCTTAAGACCAACTTATAGCAGTAGTAAGTTGCAATATTAACAAGTTTTTTCAGCCCCGGCATCATTTTACTCGCATCTTTCGTACTGCATGCATGTTGTATACCTTGATTTTCTTGACTATATGAGAAAAGTGGTAACAAAACAATGCGTCTTCTTCTTGGTCGTATCGGGAATGAGATAGCACCAGCACCACCACCGTCAAGCGTTCGTATGTATTTAAGACTCTCTCCTCTTGATGATACATCCTGAGAAAAAGAGTTGGACTTGGCTTCTAGTTGGCGTCGTGCAGGGTCCACAGTTTCCCATCAGCCGAGGGTGAAAAGGGTTCTTGCCTTTTGGTATCAACTTCCTCCCGTTTTGCTATTTATTTGTTTAAACTGCGTGTCCTGAATGAAAATGAAAATCCTGCGTCACGAATGAGATGAGAAAAGGGGAAGGGCAAAAATGGCGAGCGGAGCGAGAATTTGCAGTATACAATAAATAGATTTCAGTATTTTGAGAGCCAATAAAACCAAAATTATTTATGTATACGACTTCCTGCCCGTCTCAGGCTGGTGTAAAAATGAATGGAAATCATCACAACAGGATAATAACCGCATGCACCTGGATTGGATGGGGGATGGATCAAGTAGGGGACCAGCATTAAGAATGCGACTTCATTTTGACCTCGTTTCGTGATGGAAAGGACAGCGAAGGGAATTGGCCAAAAGTGAAAAGAGATCACATCCTTTCTGTACAATCCCTACGTAATGCATTTCGGACCAGGATAAAATGATTGCATGAATGCAAACAAATACTCAATTAGACATTGAGCCGCTTGTGCAGAAAATTTCTGCAACTAATAAAACCACGGATTTAGATTAGCGTAACCAAATGAGGCACACGAGTATGAACTTGAAACAAATTATTCCATTATCAGGCCACGTAATTAATAATTCTGTCGCATATATTATTTCATACTCCCGACGGGACGGATGATTCCATCCATATCAAAATCTCTCAATCTATTGAAGTAAAATTCAAACAAGGTTAGCCTTTTGAAGTTTTCCACCTTGATCCTAGTATATCCCACACCCTGCACAGATTCCTGCCACATTATTGAGATAGTCGTCCTGAGTCCGTTTGCATGTATTCCTCAGTTGATTAGTGGAAGCATCGAATAATTGTGGAACATAGCAAATCCACGCTTCATTCACCACTCGCTCACCTGCCTGTGAGTGGGAATGTATGCACAGTGGAGTAATAAAAATACGTCGAGTGATTCAGGCCAGGTAACAGAATGAGACGTAGACCAAACCTGAAATCTCACCGAGTCATAAGAGACGAGAAAAATAAGGCATAAGCAGCATGCGATCTGCTACGGGTTGCATTTTTCAATCAAAATTGTTGATCTGATCTCTCGCCACAGAGTCCACTTTAATGTTGTCCTGGTATTTCTATCTCTTCATTGTTGGTTATCATTCCTCCTACTTTAGTGCAATCTTACTATTGAGGACTGTGCACATATTTAGTCTTGAAACACTTGCTCCATTCCTTGCTCCCCAGACTTGTCAATGTAAAATGATTCGTTGTTCAGTCCACGGAGGAATGCATGTGCAGACCCCCTTTTGCGATATGTTGAAGGAAATTCAGACTCGACATTTGACATATCGTCGCTCTTCGTGCATGATGTGGGCAAACTGCTCCAAGTAAAATATTTGAATCTAACTCACAATCAGTATACATAAATCAGTATGGAAGTTCGGATGCACTTTTTGGCTTGCACATTGCAATGCTTTGCTGACATTGAACTGTTTCCCATTGAGAAATCCAGTCGGCAAAAAATGTCTTTAACCCTGAATAATTTCCCGTGATAAAATACTAAATACATTTTATGGAAAGCCAGCTAAATTGGATTCACTGCATTATTTGGGGGCATACATAATATTTACACAAAATGTCATTGGAAGACGAATGCGATTGTCTGCAATTTTAGATTTCTGCTCAACGAGTGCTTAACTTTTGTAGTTTTTAACCATTTTTGATGGAAACTTTAAGAGTAGAATAGCAACAATTTATTTTCAGAAATTTATAACGGTACATATTTAATTAATCTTCGTCTGGAGAGGTCAAAACTAAACTGATTGCGATCATGAGAATGCATGACTGATAACGGATCTGAATTCATGTCGATTATTTCTTAGCACTTACACGGGCAATGACCAGCTTGCCATTATTTATATTTAATCTCTTTCGTTTACTTGAACTAGTGTTTTAATTGCATTTAAGTTTCCTTGTTTATACATAATTTCCCTCATTCGTTGAGGAAAAAATCCTTTAGCGAAGCAACTATTTAGCAGAGAATGCATACTCGTTATTTGCTCGTTAGTCGTTACTACCCTTGAATCTACTGACGATTTTTTTCAAATAGGGTCCGAGGTCGAGGGAATGTGGGGGTGGTCAATTTTCAGGATGCAGATCGTTCCACAACAACTTTGACGACTTTCTTCACCTTCCGCATCTTCAGCCATTTCAAACGTTTTCTGAATTACAAAAAACTCTATAACCTACTCTGCATGCATGTTCTCGCATGATGTCATTTGGACCAAAAATGAATAAATAAAAATTGTGTTTTTTAACAAATATACAAAATGCATTAAAAAGTTCGGCGTCAACCTGGGACTTTTCATTTTTATACGAATTTATGTATACATATATTAGCACACGAAAAGAACAGAAAATAGAATTACGACATATTTCAAATCAATCATAACTTAGTGTTTTCTTATAGATTGAGCTCATTTTCTAGCAAACTGTAGTAGATGGTTTTACTTTCTGGTGCTTTGCCCTCGTCATATTCGCCAGTTTCGTCTGAATATTCGTATTCTGAATCTTCGCCTGGATCTTGGTCTTGATCTTGACCAAGATCTTGGGGCAAGGGTTCTACAAACTCGGTGAGCATCCTCTTTGGGTGTTTTGCTGGTGGGTTGCTGGTTTCCGGCTGAACTTCACTTCTCGCTTTTCTGCAACTGGATGACTTCACTTTGTCCAAGAGACACTCCTCCTTGTCCTTATCGTAGTAGTGGTCAACTTTGGGCATATCATTCTCCAGTAAGTCATAGAATTGTAATAGGACCAGTGCTGATTAACATTGCGACAATATCGCGTTGGCCACAGAATCACATCCGTGCCAACAATTCTTATTCTTACCTTCACACCCGTAATGATAAGCTTGTCGGTAAAAGCACATGTAGTACATGGTGCAGTCTTTGGGGTCTGCTTGAAATCCATTTTTGTCACAATTTACGGCTAGAAATGAGAAGTATTGTTGTTCGTTACATATTTTTTCATTTTCATTGTTAAAAAATCTGGTAGAGTCGCATATTCTCCGTACTGGTATTGATTTGATAAACTACTACCGGATTGGTAGTAGTTTATTTCTGACAATGGGGGCGAAAACCATGTTCTTCAAACCAGATTATTTTTTGGCCAACTCAATTTGAAGGACCAACGCTTTAGAAACAACATTTGGTACGACACTTGCGCAGATGCGCAAAATTCAGAGCGTTATGAGTGCCTCAAGTTCGCGAAAACGCTCGTGTTTCACGAGGAGTCAGTGCGAGAAAAGGCTGCTGCCACAAGGCCCAGATTTCGCTCGAACACCAAGCGTTTTATTCAAAATTCGCTTAATTTTGCGCATCTGCGAAATGTTGTTTCTAAAGAGAGCTCTTTCAAACCAACATGGCTAAAAAATAATCTGGGTCGAACATGATGGTTTGCATCCCCGTTGTGAGTGGCAAATTTGTCATTTCCACAACATTACTAAGCGGTCCGTTATTACCGTACCGGTGGTGTCATATATGTACTGGGGTCAGTGTTGCCAGTTTTCTAGGACTGTACTCGAATTACCAACCTGCCGGACAAAGAGCCTCAGGAACACTTATCCTCGGCAGACATTCCTTCTTCTCCGGATGGAAGGCGTTTCGAACATCGCAATATTTGAGGAAAGCATTCCCCATGTGGCACAAGTAGTAGCGATCACAACTGGGGTCCTCTGGGTCGGAATAGCGTGCGGTGACTGGGTCCGTGGGACACAAACACCTGTCTCGCCGTTCACATCGGATTGTGGAATTTTTGGCGTCCGAAATAGAGAAGAGGTTGCCAAATGCGAGGACGATTAGTAAACGGGATGGAGAAAGGGCTAGAGTTGGGAACGTCATGATGATGGATTTTTTCTAAATATACTTGATTGGTTAATTGTTCGTGGTTAAAGTTTAAAATGTGATATTTTTATGGTGGAATGTTACTTGCATTATATTGCGCTTCAATGGACTATTGTGTTTTAGAGTTACATGTGAGAATGAATAAGCTAATTGTGATTTGATGTCAATTGTCGATAATGGAAAACAAAACAAAGACTTGGATACCAACTTATAATTACCATTAAAATACATAGGCACTTCCAAACATAATACAATTTGTAATTTTTTTAACTTGACCACCCTCTTTGGAAGAGGCTCTTCCGTTCCTCCAACAAATTCCGCAGCAGGTTGTTGTTCGTATGCATTCTCATTGTAGTAGCAGGGTTTTTGCTCCAGAGTGGACCAATCAATTTATCGCGAGCTATGCCCTACGCCCGAAAAGTCTGTACATATTTATTTCAGATTTGTACATTTTGATTAAGATTTCATTATTAAAGCATTATTTTTATTATAAATACAAAAATCGGGGTTTGGGTGGAAAACTTTGACAATTTTGCATGACTTCATATTTGACTGTACATATACATTTTATTACTGTATTTTATTGATAGTTTACACACTGATTAATTTTAAAATAATTTTCAAACGGTTAATTTTATTGGCATTCAAAATTTAGCATGCAATGCTTTAGGATAACATGAAGCAGAGGGGAGATACTAAAATACACGGTCAATACGGCCACGGTCACGGTCAACTGACCGTGACCGTGACCGTGGCCGTGACCGTGACCGTGACCGTGGATTACAGAAATTTTACCGTGGTTGAATGCAAGTGACCGTGGACACACAAAAGTTGACCGTGGGGCGAAATAAGTGACCGTGGATGACCGTAGGGTCAAATAAGTTGAACGTGGACGCAAATAAGTGACCGTGGATGACCGTAGGGTCAAATAAGTTGACCGTGGACGCAAATAAGTGACCGTGGATGACCGTAGGGTCAAATAAGTTGACCGTGGACGCAAATAAGTGACCGTGGACGCAAATAAGTGACCGTGGATGACCGTAGGGTCAAATAAGTTGAACGTGGACGCAAATAAGTGACCGTGGATGACCGTAGGGTCAAATAAGTTGACCGTGGACGCAAATAAGTGACCGTGGATGACCGTAGGGTCAAATAAGTTGACCGTGGACGCAAATAAGTGACCGTGGACGCAAATAAGTGACCGTGGACACAAATAAGTGACCGTGGAGCCAAATAAGTTGACCGTGGACGCAAATAAGTGACCGTGGGGCCAAATAAGTTGACCGTGGACGCAAATAAGTGACCGTGGATGATCGTGGGGTCAAATAAGTTGACCGAGGACATAAATAAGTGACCGTGCATGACCGTAGTGTCAAATAAGTTGACCGTAGTGTCAAATAAGTTGACCGTGGGTGCAAATAAGTGACCGTGGGGTCAAATAAGTTGAGCGTCGACGGAAATAAGTGACCGTGGGTTCAAATAAGTTGACCGTGGATGACCGCAGAGTCAAATAAGTTGACCGTGGATGACCGCAGAGTCAAATAAGTTGACCGTGGATGACCGCAGAGTCAAATAAGTTGACCGTGGATGACCGCAGAGTCAAATAAGTTGACCCTGGTTCAATATAAGTGACCGTGGGTTCAAATAAGTTGACCGTGGATGACCGTGGGGCCAAATAAGTTGACTGTGGGCGGAAATAAGTGACTGTGGGTCCAAATAAGTTGACCGTGGATGACCGTGGGGCCAATTAAGTTGGACGTGGACGGAAATAAGTTACCGTGTGACCGTAAAATACTGGGTTTAGAAATTTGGGATTGCTTTAAATAGAACGTCCGATGGTTCCGATGAGTTGAGGATTAACTCAATCCAACTCAACAAGAAAAATTGTCGACTCAAACTCAACCTGATTCAAATTCGTTTCGACTCAAACTCAACCTGGTTCAAATTCGTTTCGACTCAAACTCAACCTGATTCAAATTCGTTTCGACTCAAACTCAACTAAACTTAAATGTTGACGACTCAAACTCAAGTCATGAGTGGACTCACGTTTTTAAGAGTAATATATTTATTTAAGTAAATACGTCCAGAAGGGGACACAATTTTTTTTAATACAAAATTTCCAATGAGAACGATATTGCTAGCCACCAATTACAATTTTAATGATTTCCTAGATTGTGAGAATCTATTAATATAAAATTGCTATAGTTAGAATTCCAATAAGGTAATGATAAACATACAGTGCAGACTTGATGTAGCCAGAGTCAGGCCAAGTTGTGGTTACCACTCAATCCGATTTTTTTCATGAAATTTTGCAATAAATGTATTTTAAAAAATTTAAAAATTCAAATTGATTTGGTTTTTTAAAAATTTAAATCCACATTCTTCCATTAATAACAATTGGTAGGCTATTTGACACACTCGATACGAGGATTTCAAAAAATCGGTTTGGGTCACCCAATACGGTTTAGGAATTATAATTAGAGACATTTCCTTATGAGAGTCTCATAAAGAAATGTCATTAATTTTAACCCCTCGACCGTAGGGTACTCCAGATGAAAATTTCTCCTATATTAATTTATATTGTTCCATTAGGAGCTCTTACCAACTTGTCTACCAAATTTCAGTTGGATTTCATGAATTTGAAAAATTGGTATAGGTCAATGACATTTGGCACGAAGGAAGATATTACGGCCGTGTTCTGAATCACAAAAAAATCTCCATATACACTCACACTTTGCTAAGTGGGTGTCGATTCTCCACTCAACTCGGTATTCTCAATGAAATTGGGTCTTCACTCAAGAAAAAGGAGAATTTGTGAGTGTTAGTGTCAGCTGAGAGTGGAGTTTTCAAGTGAAAACCACTGTTGTTTGCCTTTTTCATTTAGGGAATAATTTATTTAGTAATTCAAAATGTCGTCTTCGGACGAATCCACCACCACGGTGAAAGAGTTGAGAACGCTGGTACGTGCCAAATCTCCGGTTATGACCCCTTTCGACAAGGAAATTTTACTGCGAATAGTCGCGACACCTAAATTTAATCTCCCATAACAACTTATAGATTTCTCCTTTGGTGTACAAAACTTAGAAACTTTTTCACTTCAACATGTGCCGAAAAACAGATCGTAGAGGTCATAAAATTTGAATAGAAGAGTATCAATCAATTTATTGGTTCAAATATTATCAGAGGCAAAATAACTTTTGTGAAAAAATGAAACGTCGTGTCGTGTACGACGGTGGAAGAAAAACCTACTCCAAGCAACTTTGTGGGCCATTTAAGATGATATTTGAAAGTCGGACTCCCAATATGTGGAATATTATTAACTTCATGTCACATGTCAGCCTCCCACGACAAATTTGGAACGTTTCTATGACATTTAAATTTTTGTGGGGTCCACCTGATCCACCTAAACGACCACCAACTTCAAATCCCCAACCAACCACTTGACCGATCATGCTATCTCCGAACTCAACCTTACTTTTTGCCCGAAGTTGAAGTATGCAAAATTTCAAGTCGATAGCTTTTGTTTAACCCTTTCCTTCCTAACGATGAGTATATCCATCCCCAAATTTCGAACGTTGCTTCGGAACAAAGAAATTATCCGTCGTCATAAACTTGGCGTTGTGACGGAACGGAATTGATAATTTTCTTAAGAAAGAAATGTTAAAGAGAGTTATCGTGCCTACAGACGGACAGAGAAACGTCGCGACAAATCTATAAGGCCATCTTAAAAAGCCTAAAAGTATCCAAAACAGTACGCAAGGGGTTTGTTCAGAAATTGACCACCATAAAAGGATGACGTCACGATAGGGCATATATAGGACATATGTATGCCAATTAATTAAATATTTATTGTTAATTAATTAATAACAATCTGAAAAAAAGTCATAAGTTACACGGCTGTGTTGCGGAAAACGGAGGCCTACATTAATAATATGAAGTGATAATTTTGTATAACGTTTTGTGAAGAAAAGGCGTGTGAAGTCATCTCGATTGTTATTCGTTTGGCTATTTGAAATGGCGTCGGTTTCTGAGAAAAGCAATCAGGCGCTAGATGGAATTTGGAAAAAAACGTTGACGTTTGACGTTGGTTTCCATTCTGGGGTGAATTAGTCAGCTCGTGTTGAAACTAAAAAATTTGAAATTTTATACATATGAACAGAAGTACATTCACCGTCGACGTGCTTAATGTCAAAATAAATATCACACCGTATTGTATATTTCGTGGCAAGCCTACTTTCTACACAAGTCCTTCTTATGCCTTCTTATTTCCGTCCACAGTCAACTTATTCGGCCCAACGGTCATCCAAGGTCAACTTATTTGAACCCACGGTCACCTATTTCCGTCGACGCTCAACTTATTTGACCCCTCGGTCACTTATTTGCATCCACGGTCAACTTATTTCACCCCACGGTCACTTATTTGCGTCCATGGTCAACCTATTTGGCTCCACGGTCACTTATTTTCATCCACGGTCAGCTTATTTGGCCCCACGGTCACTTATTTGCATCCACGGTCAACTTATTTCACCCCACGGTCACTTATTTGCATCCACGGTCAACTTATTTCACCCCGCGGTCACTTATTTGCGTCCACGGTCAACCTATTTGGCTCCACGGTCACTTATTTGCATCCACGGTCAACTTATTTCACCCCACGGTCACTTATTTGCGTCCATGGTCAACCTATTTGGCTCCACGGTCACTTATTTTCATCCACGGTCAGCTTATTTGGCCCCACGGTCACTTATTTGCATCCACGGTCAACTTATTTCACCCCACGGTCACTTATTTGCATCCACGGTCAACTTATTTCACCCCGCGGTCACTTATTTGCGTCCACGGTCAACCTATTTGGCTCCACGGTCACTTATTTGCATCCACGGTCAACTTATTTCACCCCGCGGTCACTTATTTGCGTCCACGGTCAACCTATTTGGCTCCACGGTCACTTATTTTCATCCACGGTCAGCTTATTTGGCCCCACGGTCACTTATTAGCTCGCCCTGCGTAGCATGAGAGCTATTGAATTCCTCTTGTCCGTCTGTCTGTCTGTCCGTCTGTCTGTCTGTTAACGAGAATTTTGCATCAATTGATGCTAATTAAATAGGACCATGTCCATATTTTAGGATATTAATAGCCCCATTCGTACCGCACAAGCGATGACACAAAATGGTGCCAAGCAATTGGGGGAATTGATGCCATTCGCACCAAAAGTGCAGAATAACCGGTAGTACTACGTACCTACGGCAGGGGGCGAAAAAGTCGAAATTATGTCAAATTTGTTGGTCTATTTTGTCTGCTTATTTTCCACCATTGGTGCCAAATTGTATACATAAAAATGTTGCATCTATTTGCGGGGATTGTAGTGTACCATTCGTGCAAAATTGTGTCAAAATTATGTATCTGATTTGTCCGATTATTTGGCACCTTCGGTGCGAAGTTATGCTCAAATTCTGTTTCAGGGCGAGCTATTTCTAACGTTACAACGGTTTATTTGACCCCACGGTCACTTATTTGCGTCCACGGTCATCGGTCATCCACGGTCACTTATTTGCGTCCACGGTCAACTTATTTGCGTCCACGGTCACTTATTAGCTCACCCTGCGAAGCATGAGAGCTATTGAATTCCTCTCCGTGAATTCCGTCCGTCCGTCTGTCTGGGTGTTCACGAGTTTTTTGCATCAATTGATGCTAATTAATAATCCCCTTGACCATTATAGAATAAATTAGGCGCACCATTGGTATCGAACAATCCGTGGCGCAAATGGTGCGAATTAATTGTGCAAATGGATCGAGAAAGGACTACAATTTTGGAATAGGTAGCACCGTTGGTATTGAACAGTTGGTTATCCAAGCTGATGCGAAACAATTGGATGAGCATCAGTTGATACTCACTAGAATGGATCAGGTCCATTTTTTAATAAATTAATAGCACCGTTGGTATCTAACAATCGGTAACACAAAATGATGCGAAACAATGATGCAAAACGCACCAATGGTACAGAATAGCCGGGAGAATTTATTATATAATTTTGACACAAATTTTTTGAAATTTTATTTGACCCACCACGGTTAATCTCCAACAGTGGTGCAAAATACTTTGCCATCTTCCTCGTCTTTCTGCACCATTGATGCATAATTGCATAATAATTATTGATCTATTTTATGCTTCATTTTTATGCACCACTGGTGCATAATTGCTTAAAAATTATTGATCTATTTTGTTGAACTACTATAATTTTGCACCCAAGGTGCAAAGGTGCCAGGTAATTATATATTACAGGGTGAGCTACTTCTAACGTTACTACGGTTTATTTGACCCTACGGTCATCCACGGTCACTTATTTGCGTCCACGGTCAACTTATTTGACCCTACGGTCATCCACGGTCACTTATTTCACCCCACGGTCAACTTTTGTGAGTCCACGGTCACTTGCATTCAACCACGGTAAAATTTCTGTAATCCACGGTCACGGCCACGGTCACGGTCACGGTCAACCACACCCCCTACATCCATGGGGGAAGTTTTTGGTCCACGGCCACAGCCACGGCCACGGTCACGGTCACGGTCACGGTCAGTTGACCGTGACCGCGGCCGTATTGACCGTGTATTTTAGTATCTCCCAAGCAGAGTTTGATTTTGATTGGCATGCATCACCAAATCACCATCCAGCACCCGTAAAGGGATTACATAGTTTCACATTTCTCTCTTTCAGACCCGGCAGCCACACACTTTTAACACGAGTAGAAAACAACAACGATTTTGCTCCGGAATTTATTCATTGTTTACATTGTTCAAAATAATTAAAAACAGTGAAACCAATTAAGCAGCCAACTGATAACTTGGAATTTTATAACTCGTGTCATGATTACTTGCAATTAGTTGTAACATCTGTTGTTTGTTGAGCAATTTTGATTAGAAATGGCAAATGCCGGTTTTGGTAAGCTTTTCTTAAAATTCTCTTTCAACTTGTCTTTCAACAGAAGCAACCAGTTAATAATTTGCTTGTTTATTATACTCTTTTTAGAGATTGGCGACTCTTCCAATGAAGAGGAAGATGACCCTTCGACCGCTCTCGTCGTGGACCGCGCCGACCTGCAGAACTTGATGGAGGTTCCCTCCGACGATGACGACGGCGGAGAGATGATGATGGACCAAGGTGAAGTCGTTCTCGAAACAATTTCACCAAAACGAAGGTCACGTCCCTCTCCCACTAAATCAACACGGTCCACGAAAAGCAGTCAGAGTGGTGCTGGAGGAGGAAAGAGAAAAAGGCGACTAATCACTGACTTGCGCCCCATGTCGACAAGTGGTCGAGGAGAATCCCCCCAACCAGGAACGTCTCGAGGATCAACGACGAACACATTGACACTGATACAAAACGTGGGTTCGCTCCTTGCAGACGACGATGATGACGATCCCGATGAGGAAATCAGGAGGGCGACGTCACAGTACTTGCAGGGTGAGTAGTCGAAATAACGATTATCAATTAGATATTATAGGTTATCATAACCTGACAATTGTACCTGTTAGGCGAAATGTCAGCGACAGACTTTGCTGCCCGGATGGAGGATTTTGAACGGTACAAAGTACAGCAGGAAGCTGTTGAAAAGGTGAATCAGCCCAGTCTCGTGCTTGTGAATCCGTCCCCGGCTGATAAATCGCCAACGGACGACGTCACCGCCATACACCACCCGGGTGTCGAGGGAGAGGATAGCACCGCAGAAGCCAAATTGCGAGGAGAATTTTTCCGCACGGGCGACGACATGGCCACGTTCAGTGTGAGGAAGAAGAGGAAGATGCCACCCACGATTAAAAACATGATGGGAGAAGCACACGTCCGTTGTGCTCGGGGGGACCTGACGGGTGCAGAGAGCATTTGCTTGGAGATTATTAAAGAGCGTGAGTGTGCAATATATCCAACGAGTTTAAACCCCCGTCAATCGACGGGCAAAAAAGGAGAAAACATAAGTGGCGTGGGGACCTCATTTTCTCTCTCTACTCTGCACAGAGAGAAAATGAGGTACCCACTTCGCAACGATTTGGTGTCAGTTTCCATCCAACAATTGCTGCTCAACGATTGCGATCCTGCTCCAATCACTTGACTGATGTTGCCTACTACAAACACATTGAGGCTTTAATTTTAAAAGTGATTTCGTTACACATATAATGCAAGGGGTTGGGATTAGTATAGAGTGGAAATTGTTGGATGTCAAAGTGCACAATACCCTTCTCAACTATGTCACCGACCCAGTCAGCCAGCAGCGATACACTCCCACGTGGATGTGGATATGGAAATTGACCATGTTTTTTTAATAAATAGAGCCGACATATAAAGATCCGTTCCACACGTTGGCGATGATTTACGAGAATCAGGGTCGAATGAAGAGAGCGTTGCAGTTCTTCCTCATTTCTGGCCTCCTCGACCCCAAAAATTTCGACGACTGGCCAAGATTGGCAGAATTGTCCGTGGAGGAAGGCAATATTCCGCAAGCCGTCATGTGTCTCAGGAAGGGTGAGCTTTTTTTACCTCGTTTTTTGTGATTAATTGTTTTTCGGGAATGTTTTTATTCTATTTTTATTTTTTAGCAATCATGTCGCATCCTACCAACGCCAAATCGTACATGCGACGGAGTGAGCTTCTGGCCGAGACGGGTGACGTGCGGGGAGCATTGCGCGGTTATCACAAGGCGTTGGGAATGTCAGAAGAGGACGCAGAGACGTACATGGACGTGGCCAAGAGGGTGGCAGGCATTCACTTCAAGGCGGACGAGCTCGACCAGGCCTACAACGTCCTCATGGGCGCTGTCACAAAGTTCAGTGATAATGTAACCACGGCCGGTAAAAAAGATAAAATGCTTCGGTTATATCTATATAACCGACCGATAATATATTGATATCTATATAAAAAAAAGTGTGGCAATTAATTTGGAGTTTTTATTTTGGTGCAGAAATGAACCTTTTGGCTGAGGTGTGTATTTCTCTGAAAAAGTACGTAAAGGCGGTGACTTTGTTCATGCGTTTCTCGGGGGTGCGGTTCGAACCGGCCATCCCGAAAATCTCGTTCAAGGAGAGGAGCTCGTTGACGGCATCGCTGGCCGAAGGAGGACGTCGTTGCTGCGTCCCCACCGCCCTCCACTCTGATCTCACTCAAAAACTCTGCATCATCCTCATCCATCTCGAAGCATTCGACATGATCAAAGTAACCCACACACTCTTTAAATTTTATGCAAATTTAGGCAAGTTTATGATTATTGTGTGTTATTTGCAGCCAGTGGTGACCATGTTACGTGAAACGGAGCCGCTGGAAACGTTTGGGATCCAGCTGTACGAGATTGGAGAGGCATACTTGGCCAAGCAGCGGTTCGAGGAATCCCTTTCCATCCTTGAAACTCTCGTCAACACGGACAAGTACTCCATGGTACGCAAAAACTCTACTGGTAAACTGGTGGCAATTTTATATTTATTATTCTGCAGGCCGAGATTTGGCTCCGTTACGCGGAATGTTTATTTCTCCTTAATCGCGTGGAGGACAGTGCGGAGGCCTACTCGACCGTGATCAGGCTGGCTCCTGGACACAAGGTCGCCAGGCTAAATTTGTCCGTCATCCTCCAAAAGTTGGGCAGGTTCGATGTAGCCCTCCAGAGCTTGAGTCAACGTAAGTAGATGGTAGTTTTTGCATACAATTTTTTGCATGTTAATGCAACTTTGTGATTTTGCAGATGAGATGGAGGATTTGATCGACCAGGACTTGATGGTGGAAAAGTGCAACATTCTCTTCAGTCGGAACCGACTCAACGAATTTTACGACACGGCCCTCCAACTCTTTAGCCGACACTGTCCCGAGGTCAGAAATTACGACGAGGCTCACGGTACATATAAATATAATCTTCATTTTGTGCTATATTGCATATTAAATACTTAGTAATTTCGGTAATTGTTTTCATGCAGCGCTGGTAATCACGTCGCAAACGAACCAAATGCTGCAAGGCCTTCGTTCGCTTCGCATCCGGAAAGGTGACTCCCTCCCCGATGGAGACATTAATCGCATCGACCCCAAGCCCACCGACAATGCGACAGGTGAGTGAGTGAAACTAATCGAGTGGACGTTAATTGACGATATGTTATGACAAAACCGACACTGTGTGAAGTGCTGCTTTAGCCCGAGTCAGGGTCAGAGTCTGCTTTTGTGAGAAGACCAAACTAATATTACCAACTGCTATTCGTAATTGCCAAGTTGATTGATTGATTTATTTATTTACAATGAAACACCCCATTTCTGGGTTATTACGTACGCTTCAAGGTTCAAAATGTTCACATAATGTAGCATGCAGAATTTCAGCTTTCTTGGATCGATTTCAAAAACCTTGCTGGGTTCATCTCGCAAAAGTATTCCTAAACTTTGCCTCATATTCTTTAGTCTAATGTGCCCTTACACCTTCAATTTAATTCAATTCAATTCAATTCAACCTTGATACGAATTACAACTTTCTTCAACCTATTTCAAGGGGCAGTGTGGGTGACCCGGTTCAATCCTCTAGAAAAAACTCGTAAAATTTACTTCATATCTGTAACCCTACCCCTGCCGCTTCATGCCAAATTTCTGCGTATTTCTAGGATCATTTTCAAAGATGAGTGGGGTCAGCCTCGTGGGTCCTTCTACACAATAACTTAGTCGTTATAACATTGCATTTTCACTTTAGTACACAATGTCCTGAATATCCGCCTTCTACGATCATTAACCACTTGACTGATGGACTGACGAACATGAGTTCCATAACCCCTGACTCGGGCTAAAAGTTTAACAAATTGTTATGATTTGATTTTCGGATGTCAAAATTTGTATTCAATTTTTGGAAATTTTTAAAATATGAAACAGGAGAGTGGACCGTGTACCTAAAGTTGTTTGACACTTTGCTCACCCTCAATCGGCCTGACCTTTTGTGCCGGCTGGCCTACACTGTCTGGGCGTCGCCCCTTTTCGCCAAGGACGTTCGAATGAAGAAGGACCTCGACCTGCAAGTCTGCTATGCCACCATCCTCAACTGTGACAACGAGCTTGGGCCGATACACGTCCGCTCCCTCATCTCCACCTTCGGATTGTCCACCGTGATTTTGAAACTGATTTCGTTGGCGTGTCGGAAAAGTGGTCATGCCCGATATGGGCGACAACTGGTCAGATTATTGATGAAGCGGCCGTCCGACACGAGGCTGATGATGCTCAATGCCCACATTTCACTCATGAACGGAACCTACAAGTATGCGTTGATGGAGTACATGGCGATTTTGCAGGTCAGTAAAGAATGCAGGTTATCTGTAAAAGCCATTGTATGTGTCTTGTAATCAAAATAATTTGTCAGGTGAGACGAGATGATCCGCTGGTCCACCTCCTCGTGGCCTCCACCCTGATGCACATCTGCTCTCAGAAATCGGTGACGAATCGGAGTGAGCTCGCTGTCCAGGGTATCGCTTTCATCCACAGGTAAAACCAGATTCTTAATTTCTACGTTTTACAGGATATTTAATAAATGCATTGTATGCCCTCTGGTTTCAGGTATGCCGAGTTGAGGGGTGGATGTGGTCAGGAGGTGTGGTACAATTTGGGTCGCTTTTACCACTACTTGGGTCTCTACCGAGGCGCGGTGACGTACTACAAACGTGTCCTCATCAGCGAACCCCTGCCCGACCTCAGGGTGGACACCATCGGATACAACGTCAATGATCTCAGGAGGGAGGCGGCCTTCAATTTGGGACAGATTTACAAGAGCGTGGGCGCCTGGGGGCTGGCAAAGAGATACATTTCCAGATATTGCGTCATATAAACGACGTTATGGTTTATTTATAACGGAATTAGTCAACTGACTTCAATTTATGGACCAACCATAATTAATTAATAAAATTTTTATGTCAAGATCGGATTGCTGTTAAGCTTGAATTTTATTTCATCTATCTTCTATCTCATATTATAAAAAATCCCTTTAAATTTATCAGTTCAACATAAATACGATAACGAATATATTTTTGGTCATCAACTTTCTTCATTAGATTACATTAGATTAGTTAACTTTGTATTTGTTAACTAATTGACATGCATTTACACGGCATTTATAATTCCACCCCCACCCCAACGTATAGTTTAACAACGTATGTAGATACATGTATGCTGAAATCTAAACATAATACAACCCACCCACCGAGATGATGTTTCCTACTTACAAAAATGTGCAACTCTTACCTGTTTGGAGAATACGGCGATATCTTCATTGCAGGACTGTAAAGTAAAGTTCAATTGCTCCAGCACGGTCATGTAGTCGAGAAACCTTCTCCAGAATGGGAATTTGAAGAGGAGGCTGGCCTGCTACACGAAAATGTCGTCGGGGGTGGTGGCAAATGCAGAGTGGGCGATTACGACCAGTAATGTGCCCCTGAGAGATGTTAGCAGCAGCGGCGGTCAGGTTGGCGAGGAGGGGACCGGATGCCACATAAGGGACGAGTCTCTTAAACTTCCCTGAAGTGAATGTGGTTGTTGATGCGACCTGAATACTGGATCGTAGAGCCCAGTAAGTTCAGTTGGTCGCAGCAACAATGAATGTGGGGGCCGTGATAGAGCGGATGTTTCAGTCCTCAAGGGAGGAATTTAGCCATCACGGAGTTCGTAGTCTTCACGGCCCCACGGTTGCAGAATACGTCGAGGAAGAGTTGGCTGACCATGACGAGTCGAACGAGGTCGATGAGCCCGGGGTGCTGTCGTAAATTCTGCGGAAAATCACGTTAAATTGTTTACTTAATGTTGAACTTGCTTGCGTTTTTGCATGGAAGATGATTATTGATTAGCATGTCATTCTCACCCGTGAATCTTTCCATATTTTTCGAAACGTTCCAGTTCGCTGTCTTGGGAAGAACTGACGAAGGTAGTGTAACGTCCCCTGTTCTCCTACGGGGTTTGCGTGTGTCCACACCCACTTTCGCGAATGTCCATTATTTTATGCAATCAATTTGTTGAAGTTCGCCTAAGGAGAATTATAAAATTATAATTAATTATTTGTATCAATACCAACTGAAGAAATGCTTATGTTGTTAAACATGAGGGAGAGCTGATTGATATATTTATATTTCCGAAAGTTACTTTTTCTATTTTTACAAAGATCTTAAATATTAATTTACCTTGAGGGTTGCAAATCTAAACCTTGCAAAGCATCCGGTGTCCACTCTTTCATTTTCTTTGCTCTGTTTACCGTGTATATATTTACTGTTCCTGTTATCGGAACTGTGTCCACGAATCGACCATTGCAACAATTTGAGGGTGGCACTCTTACGCTGAACAAGGGTTTCTGCTTCTCAGAGTTGGTGCCTCATATTTTGGCATATTTTGGCAAGTCGTTGAGACGCTAGCGAGAGCAGGAACAGTACTGCCTCCGATCTTATGGAGCAGAGCTTGAGCGCTGCTACCACCACCCCACGCTCCTCATCCATATCCTCGTCTCCCCTTCGTGGTCCGCTGCTGGTTGATGCGCTCCTTCTCACGACGGTGCCGTGGTTTTTGCTTCCAAGCTGGCAAAAACCATGTTCCCTGGATGCCTATGTGCATTATGTTCCCACCGGAATACAGCGTGGTGCAATGTTGAGAGTGCTTAACATTTGCATAAATCTATGCAGTTTGAATTCCTGACCTTTGACATGCTATGTTGCATGTGCATCGGCATTACAAAGGTTGCAGTAGGTTGCAAAGAGGCCATGGACCTATGGCCTCCCATGTCTCACTTACGGGAAACAAGCCAAAACCATCGTAAAAATGTTCCCTGGACACTGTAATGTCGCAAATCTCTTTTAATTCCATCCTGTATGCATTATTAGCACATTTACTTGGGCACATAATTTTATCCTAAAAGTTCCCAATGTAGTTTGCCTACAACGGCAAAGATAACATCCCCTCAAAGTACTAGTCGACAGACCATTATATTCGCTTGAAAACTACATGACTGATTGTCCAGTAAACGGTATTCGATTTATTCACCTTCCGAATACCATGCGAATTGTCGGAGAATAGATTTTTCTGAGATTGTCTCAAAGTCTCGAATAGCCCACTGTTCTCACATGAGTTGAGGTTTCTGATTCTCTGATGCTCACTTTGAGTGAATCGAATGCTGAGCTGACGAGTTGTATTTGTACATGAGGCATGTTGAGATTTGCATTAACAAGCAACTCTGTGATCCAATGCTTGAAATAGATTACGCTCCCTTCTCCTCTGCTCGTCCAGAGCCACTCCCACTCAGCCTGCCCCACCACCCACCCCACGGTTTATACGCCTCCTCCCACTTCTGAGGCCCAAGATGTGGCACAAATCTATCCCAAGGAGACTCGCTCTTGCAATGACGACGACCCAAACAGTAATTAAGCCTGCACACATTTTGTACAATTTAATAATGTATTGCATAATCTGTAATCTAATATTTGTAACTTTAGTTGAAGAGAGAGCGCAATTGGTTCACTCCACGTACAAAAGGAACAATCCCATGAATTCGAACAGCCGCTTGGACCAATGACGTCTGACGTCGGTCATGTTAGTCTCTTTAACATTTTGACGTCTTCTATATTCGTCTTCCTTTGTGGATTTCAGTGGAAGTCTCACTCACTGCGGACAGGATTCGGTGTGATGCAAACTTTATGACATTATTTAGGTATAAATCAAAATCTACTATAGCCGATAGTATTTAGAAAGCGCAATCATGAATAAATAGAAAATTACCCTTGTTTCTATCGCGTATTAGTTGACAATAGTTTACTAAAAGAAATACATATTTTTCAGACAAATTTCATAATTCTAATTCATACGCATCTTTGTTTCTGCTTCACCTTTGATTTTATTACGTTTTGTGATACTTCTCGTGATAATCTGGTCTCATGAAGGTTTTCTAATGAAGCGGACTAATTCTGTGAAATCAACTATTTTTATAAGAACTCTTTATTAGCATAAACCGGGTCTCGTTACTCTTGCCAAAATCAGAACTTTTTTTACGAGAAAGTGAATGAGACGAGATTATTTCTGCCTGCTTTGAATCCTGCCATCCCGGGAGAAGCTTTTGTGCCTCCAAAATAACTGATTTTCACTTCTCAGTCCAGTTTGTAAAGGGAGATTCAGCTTAATTTGCAGCACTTACAATTAGTTAAGTAAGATGTCATTAGGTCAGGAGCAAGGTCTAAGTTTCGTTTCCGACGACTTGGAGCCTCGCCCAAGAATATCCCGGTATCCGGCACCATTTGACTTTCCGGTAACTTTCTCAGTTTTACTTTCGTGAATCGTTTTATCAAAATAGTGAATAATTAAATTTCACATAATTTAGGAGAAACCAGTCCCTCAAGTACCCGATATATCACTTCTCGAGTCGGACATCATTTCGCTTCCTAGCAATTCTCCTTCTCTATCTAAATTTCTGTCTGGAAACACTCCGAGACCAAATGCTAATTCGTCGCAAAATTCTCCTGGCACAGTGACACCCTCAAGTCGAAACAGTTCTGGGATGGTAGCAACTACTTCGCCAGTAACGATGGTACATTCAAGAAATTCAGAAACGACCTCAGCAAACAATACACTTAATTCGACCGGCCAGGGGAAAATTTTGATAGATAAAGCTAACTCTGGTCAGTCTATGGGTGAAGATGTTTTCAAAGAATTGCAATCACAACGGGAAATGATAGCAAGGATGGAGGAAAAATTAGATAAAATTTTGCAATTCCAAGATGGATTTCTGTCCGAGATCTTCCGTCGAGGCAAGTTTATTTTAGTATATTCTAGATGGTTTTCTTGATGGCCTGTAAGTAACTACTAAGTTGACCACGAATTATTTTAATTCGATTAGGAACCCTTATTTCTCGCCATGTGCAGACGGACGAGGTTATTAATTCTACAGAATTGGCTCATCGCTCCCAACCAAGCAGAACTACAACGACAACAACCACATCAGAGAGTCGCACGCCCAGCCGAACTTCCACCCCAGCCGGGCCTCCCAAACATCATCAACATTTTCACTGCAGTAAGGCGAGAAATAGTGCGGGTGGACAATTGGAGAGAATTCGGACCCAGGAGAGAGGGTATAATAATGACTCCCTGTCAGCTATCCAACTTCCAAGTGTAACCCTCAATGAACCAAGTGCCCTCATCTCTCAGGCGAGTGAGATAAGGTCACTTCAACTTCAGGAGTTTAACGATGATAGCTTTTACAGCGGAAGGTAACAGTTTTATATTGAGGAAAAGCGTATTTATATATTTGTAACCTTCTCTCGTTTTACTTCATTAGTGGAGACAGCCCTGTGCTTCGAAATGGGGGACCATTCTGTTCAGACGGGTCATCCTCTGACGAAGACGGAAACTCGGCTTCCTCTCCTGTGATTAAGGTGAAACCCCCGGGACAAAACGTGATGACCAATACAAATCGCATTTTGAGCGATGCTTCACGAATACCTAAGCAGCAGCAAATTCCTTCTGGGGCCAACTTATGGAAACCATCACCTCAGCCATCACCACATGCGTTTGATAATAATAGAGAAAGGTAAAGAAATTCTCTAATGTTTTCTTAATGTGGTCTCCAGTTAGTGATCAGTATATGCACATGTACACATGTATATTTTATGTAAAAAGGATTACAAACTGGATTGCAAACGGGATAGGAACTAGGAATCAGTTTTCTAAAGAGAATCGCCTTCCGTCTGAACGAAATGGATCTCCAGCTCAAAATTCGTCATCATCATCATCCTCGCCCAATGGTCAAGTGCATTTGTGTCATAATCAACCTCGATTAAAATCCAAACCTGAAGATGAGGTTGTCCTAAATACAAAGAAATATCTGGAAACCTTGGGTGTTCGTTTTACCTCTCCGAACCGAACCAACTCACGCCCGATGCCAAATTTGAACCGAAACAACTACATGATTCAGCAGTGAGAATACGACAGTCATTTTTGCATATTACATGCAACAATTTAATATTTTTTATTGTTTCAGAAATGTCTACAACTCGATCTATATTCCAACCGTAAATTGTGCACCCATAATTCCGGAAACGATGGAGTGCGCTATAACTTCTGGGACGGGTTCGAATTTTCATACCCTTGCACAAAAGTATGCTAATGCAGATGAGTTACGAGAGTTTGATGCGATACAAGGTAAGAGCAATTCTTTGTAATGTGTTATAACCTCTAAATTTTAACTAAAACACCCTTCCTAGCCAACGCTGCTGTTCCAACTGAAACCACCCTTTACGGCATGACAGCATCAAATCTTTCCTTTGCTACAAAGGACTACCTTCAACGATACGGCCTCGTTACCCAACAACCCCCACCTCATCAAAGTCCCAATCCAGTCAATCCACCCCGTGTCCCATCAAAACCACCCCATAAAAAGTCTCCAAGTCTTAAGAGCGACAGAATCCTTAACATGACGGCGATCAAGAATCAACCCATGCTCTTGTGAACCTATGCAAAACATAATTATGATGGCCTACTACACTTTTGCAATTAGTTTGCGAATTAATTGTAGAAGTGTAAAGATGTGATGGTGGAATAAGTGCTCCGAAAGCTCGTGTGATATTTACAATAATTCGTAAATCATGCCCGTCCTCAGAACTATTCTGAAAATAATATTTGTAATAATGTGTATTTATAAACGTGAGAAGTAAAATCATGCATCGCTTTCCAACCGAACGAACAACAATTCGTTGACCCAGTTATTTTATTTTGATTGTGTTCGCTCATATTCCTAGACCATAAACAAGGTTCATATTTCACTGAGTTGGATCGGGTCTAGCCAGTGACATTATGCAGGGAAGACTGTGTGAAGCTTTATCCTCGCTTCATTTCACATTAGTTTTTCCCCTGTCCAAAAAATGATGCGAGCAGAGTCTCTCGTCACAATTCCGGTAGAATCACGAGAAGCTATGAAACATTCGGATCGAATAATGTTATGTCTTTGGGTGGTTTTTCTGCTGGTAAATAGTCAGATTTCTTTGTCGTACGTAACTAATCAGTATTTCCTAAATTGCGTTTTTCCTTATTTGAGGTGGTGCTAACCATGCTGACGATATTTTACGGGTGGACCTTCCTCAATGTTGGCGTTCCCTCCTGCTCCTCGCTCACGGCGTACATAATCCTCGCAGTGTTGACCATGATTCTCTTGACGGTTCTGATCCTTGGCATGTGGAACCTCCGCTGGAGAAAGAACGAGGATTCGAAAGGATTTGCGTTGGGGGTGAGAGAAGGCTGCACTGTAAACTTGTCGCAAAAATAACGAAAATAGATACATATTTCAAGGAATACTTACTCCACTCTGCTAAATTTACAACTAATCGTAGTGTGAATTGTTTAGTACAATGTTGGACTATGCATCGTGCTCCTCTTCACCATGGCGTTGACGTTGTTCTTCGCTCAGAACGTGTCTCGAACAGAGTTGGTGAACTTTTTGGCGAAACCACACCTGGGATCAACCACGTTTTTGAAATACATTCACGATAAGTTTGTACGCTTTAAATATTTTATTATTTTACGATTAACCCACGCACTCTTTGAGAGAGCATTTGAAATTCAGAACTGCTGCGTTCCAATAACCCCGGAAACATTGGCTTCTAACCAGGATTTGGATATCGAAAAGTCGGAGCTGAATAGGATCATCTGTGTTGCTGGTCAAGTGGCTCACCGGGGATGTTTCGACCACCATAGATCGGATATTTTGCGTCCTCCGGCCTCCGCGTACTCCGGCCTCCGGCCGGCCATGCGTACTCCGGCCTCCGCGTACTCCGGCCTCCGGCTGGCCACGCGTACTCCGGCCTCCGCGTACTCCGGCCTCCAGAAAAAGTCGCGTACTCCGGCCTCCGGAGGCCGGAGTACGTACTCCAAGCCCGGAATTCTCCTATCTATGCGATCGGAAATTTTGCGTACTCCGGCCTCCGTACTCCGGCCTCCGGCTGGCCACGTGTACTCCGGCCTCCGCGTACTCCGGCCTCCGGCTGGCCACGTGTACTCCGGCCTCCGCGTACTCCGGCCTCCAGAAAAAGCTGCGTACTCCGGCCTCCGGAGGCCGGAGTACGTACTCCAAGCCCGGAGTACTCCGATCTATGTCGACCACATCACCAGTTTGAACCAACTTTTGTCCCAGAATAAGGAAGCCTATGCCGTTCACATGATGCAAACCTATCTTCCAGTCATCCTTCTCGTTGGCGTGGTCGTGCTCTTGCTTCTCTTCAATGCCTACACGTCCTACGGGGGAGATAAGGACGACTACCGAGACCAGCGAACCCTTCCAGAGGTAGCATCGTCAAAATCTCTCAAATTGTAACTCTGATTCCAGTTTGTTAACCAATTAGTTCCGACGTCCCCGACATGAAGAGCTAGGTTCCGTTTTCTGCGCTGGGTTTGCCCTTCAAGCAGGCACCGTTCTCCCACAACCAGCACCCTTGCCTCGACCCTACCATTCCTAATCTATGACCTCGTCCAAGCTCCACTCCGCCTCGGACGACTACATTCCCCTGCACAATACAAACTAGTCCTCCTCCCCCTCAAGCATTTCTTAATCAATTTTATCCAGTATTCAGTAAATCATTATGCAAAATATTAACGTCCCTTAAATAATATGTATGTATTCACACATTTGTTTTTAGCTTCTGATAAGGCAACAAACTTTTATTCCATTCTTATCTCTGTGTAGTAATAATATAATTATAAAAGTCAACCCACATCATACAAAAGGCGAGAAAAACAAAGTGTGTGTAACTAAAAGCGGTGTGGATGGACAGAGGAAAAGAGGGACAGAGAGAGGACTAAGGAGATCATAAATATCGCATCGATCATCACACACCATCAGGAATATCATTGAAATCACAAAGAGGAAATTGTATGCAGACTTTTTGCTCAAAACAATTGTGTATACTTGGATAACCTACGTGTATAATAATCCTATTAAAAACTTATTTTCGTTGTGTGATAAATAAAGCACCGTCACAAGGTCTGCACGAGTAAATTATTAATCAACAACCAAAACCCCACGTTTTTGCTTGTTTGTGAATTATGCATACACAGTTTTATACAGGCTATTAGTTAAAAAGGCGAAGAACGAGCATATGAGAGGCAAGCAGCTTACACGTTACTGTATAAAAATCCATATTCTTATAATAATTATGCCTGTTTAGTTGAGTGGCGTAAGCGTTTTAAAGAAAATTTCATGTTTGGTATATAACTGATAATGCGGCGGGCGGTATAGGTTCATAAATATCCTGTTGCGTTACATAATTATTATGCGTCGAGTAGCGTCAATCTATCACCGAGTTATTAAGTATGCCTGTACTTCAGTATTAATCATTGCAATTTGTAGTACATGCAGTTTACCCATTTTGAGGCTAAAACATCAGGCAATTATAAATTAACTAATTGTAAGAGTTAATACATAACATCCCCTCAAAATTGAATCATTAATAAGTCATATCATAATTTGTAATAAATGTCGCAATAAAAAATTAATGTATGTATGTACGTGTAGCACAGGTAGGTCGTTTCATGATGAGGAACTTATAGAACGGCATATTAATAATACATATGCTTTCATTTCTAATCTTTGCAGGTCTTGCATTGAATCTCTTCCAACTGTATATAAAATAGTATCATACAAATAAAATACATAAAATAGTAATTTAAGAAACAAATTTTTTGCATTTTTTACGAATGACTAAAACATTATAGTAAAACAATTTTCCATCTTTGCAGTATGGAGACAAGCATAAAAATCCCAGACGGAATGGTGCACACCAATACCAACTATTTACACACCAACATGAATAAAACGTCATTCATTGCCAACATTATACAACTGTTATTATTTCCTTGTGATGTATACATTTATAAAAAAAATCCCTGAGTGGGGAAGCCATGCGGCAAAATATAGTAACAAATAGTACAGCTAGATACCCACATTATGTGAATTTTTCATATAAGTAGATTGACAATCTAAATCAACATCTATGTAACTTCTACGTTCTTCCTTTAATTACTCGCAAGATGATTTGTGGCATTCATTATACAAATATTTTGTCATTCAACTAACTTTATAGCTATTTCTGCTGATATTAACTATATATGTTTATATATAGTTACTAATATGCGGATCTTGTTACCCGCTGATACTGGATTGTGTTATTGTACTAGATTTCATTTTATGGTGTCCGCATTATTGAGGGAATTTCGAAGGGGTTAAAAACATGACGATAAAAATGATGTATTCGTTTTTTTCTTGTATTTCATTTTAATAGTTTTTCAGACTTTTAGTTTCGGGTAGGAGAAAAATCTTCATTCTTATTGTATTTCTTCTACTCCCGTTATCATCACTTTTATTAGTCGAGTGAATGTGCAGGCAGGTGGGATGTACAAGACGACGAGGAAGTGTGAATATACTTGTTATTAGTCTATGCGAGTCTTTCTTGTTCGTGGCCTGGCTCAAATAAATGCAGTCTGAAACCAGGGGAGATTTTAATTTAAAGGCATGCTTGAATTTTTTCAATCCATCCTTGTGCGGAAGATGAGTCACTGGCACAAAAATTGTAAATTCGACGAGTTGTTCGAATCTGTAACGTAAAATCATGTATTTTAAGCCAAATTCCAAATAAATATAACTACTAGCTTTTGTATTTACATCAAAAAAGCATTTGTCTTCGGATTTTTTCGGAGCTCCTGGGGCTGGAGTCCCTGAAGTAACATTGACCACCTCGGATAATTCTGGAATGAAATAAAACATTTGCATTATTTTGGGCTATTCGATTAATACATAACTTTTTGAACCATTAATATAATTACCAATGAACCCTTTAGAGTGCGAATCCTCCATGGCGTCATAGTATCTAAGTTGATGTTTGGTCGAGTCGAGTACAAACCATCGTTGTTTCCACCCTTTGAGCAACGCCCCTCGTTTATACAAGTACCCTTCGTGAGTCCTGTTCTCGGTGACATTTGAGGAAAATTCGTCATAATAACTAGGATGAGAATTCTGCACGGATGGCGTGTCTGAAACAACATTACCATTTAAACTTAATGTCCTCTTTCATTATAAAGTTTTGCAATACACTTTCTTCATATAAAATTACACCACTTACGAGATGACCCGGACAAAGAATCCGATCCGACATTGGCTTGAAGAGACATGGTATTCATTGCATTGTTAGAACCCATACCTGAGCCATGTCCTCCTTTCACACATTTTACACGACACTTGGGAACACCATCAGCACATTTGTCGTGACATTTAGCTCCGCATTCCAGGCAACGAAGGCCAGTCTGTAAAAGTGGTTATGAGTTGTTTTTATTATAAAATTTAAATTTTACTTTCTGCATTTCTTGAATCTTGAAGCGAAAAAAAACCAAAAGCTTTGATTATTACCTTTGCAAGTAGGATGGCCCCACAAGTATCGCAATTTGCTAATGTCGTAAATGTATGCTTTTCGAATCGATGTGGCGAATTATAGACATTCGAAATATCCGAAGATCGCACCAACTTTCCACGAACGAGGATATCCATGGTGGATTTTTTATGGAGAGATCTTCCCAACGCTCGTACTTGTTGGGTTGTGATGGAAGGTTCTCTGATTAGCCCAGTTCCATCTTCAGTTGGTGGAGCTTCTAGCTTGTCAAAAATCTGTTTCCACTTTTGTGGGAGACGACCCCTGTCCTGCTCTAACTGGTGATGCTTGGCAAGGTAGTGACGAAAAGCGTCAGGGATGTGCCGGTCAACGATGTCATAACTATTATAGTACAAAAAGTACATTGACAAATTAGTTGGCAAAGAAAGAGCAGCTCAATTGTATGTGATAATTGAGGATACTTACCCAGCCATTACACATTTTCGTATGTCTTTAGCACCCTCGGCTGGCTGGTCTTCGTCCCCTTGTAACTCCACATAAGCAACTTCAAAATCATACGATGCTCCAATAGACAAATCTTCTTTAGTAAAATACTCCCAAATTTGTAGAGCTGAGGTATGACGCATAGGTCTCAAAACCTGCAAGTTATTATATTAGTAAGCTGTAGAAAATTGTCATATAACCGAGACCAATAAACACTTTAATCTAACCTGTGCAGTTGAATTTTTGTCATACTTTAAATTGAAAAATACACATGACTTGGCATGATGTCTCTCTATGTACTCAAAGACCGACTGCCCGCAATAGTGAGAGTTTGGATTTTTTCCTGGAAATTAGATTAAAACACTACAAGCTATCCAATCGATCAATTGCTGCAGCCATTGAATATTCAACCTACCTGTATTCATCATGTACAAAGTTTCGTCATCCGATCCTGTATCTACCCCTTTATACGGCCGTGGCAAGCTTCCTCGTTTATTATCTGCTGCCATAAATCCATACTCAACCCTTTCCAGTTCGTTATCTGCAAGGAAAGTTCGGAATCTCCCGGATACCGAGTGGAACGCCAGAAATTTGATGAAATATTGATTAAATTCGAACGACAATGGAAACTGATGAAGGAGTTGGTGCACGATGTCCAAAAATTGGAGAAAAATTGGAGCGAATCCAGGATTGGAAGAAGGGCCTTCTGCTCCAGTTACATTATTCCGATGGCTGAATCGATACCCAAAGGCAAGCCATTCTTTTTCTAGCAAGGTCTGGAATCCTTCTATAGTTCGGTAGTACGGATCCAAGCACAACTGGGCGATAGATGTTATTTGACTTGTAATATCAGTACCATCTTCAAGGCAGAGGATAACACTGGATCCGTCATCAATAAGATCTACAACAGCGCCTGATAGCCACATCACGCTAGTCAATTGATTCAACCAATCCGTCCCCTCGAATGCCTTTAGAAACGAGTTTTCCGCGTCCGGACCCCCGTTTGATGGTAGGCAGGCACGCATGAGCTTTTTAAATGATGTCCGAGTTTGGCGTACTTCGACAAAATCTACAGGAACGTACTCAATCTTTGAGTTGTGATCCGTCTTAATACCCTGTCAGATCAAATAAGTATGTTAAAACTGGTCCTTTATATATGCCAATTTAAATTCTTGCTCATTCTTCACCTTGATTTGGGATTTTTCCCCAAAAATATATAATGCGGCTTTTTGAATTCTTGGGGGAGGAATTGGAGGGACATCGCTAATTCCGTTCAGATCTTCTTTCGCCGCTTGTATTTGTGACAAGTAAGGTTGAACAATTATCGGTTGCGACATATTTTTACGAGGTCGGGCAGTGGTCCAGTTCCCGTATATTCCTTTACCCCCACTCGTCCTGAAATGTGAAATACAACAAAAGGTTTCGACACGGCAAACAATATGACGAGTAGAAGCAAAATAAGCTAGAAAGTGCTCGTGCATTGAAACACATTGCATTAACACAGTCAGCTAGCATTGAATAATAATAATATAGTGGAACGAGTCAGCCAGATCATTGATTGATTTCGACCAGGGTTTCCTGTTGCACTACTGCATCTTGGACATCAGTTCATCCTTGAAGTGCTGTTTTTGTGACATCACTATCAGAACCCATTGTAACTCATAACGGCTTTGTCAAATATTTTGAAATAATATTGTTAAACAATCGTAACTTCGTTTGTCGTTATGCTAGACATGGTATGATTTATCTAAACTCGCATGATGAGAACATTCAATGTAAATAATTTGTAAGTGTCATGCGTGCGTGCAATAAGTTTGTTAGTGAAAAAGTTACTCTTAATAAAAATATAGAGAGCACTTGATACGTTGTTTGTTAGTGCAGGTGTAGTGCAACAGGGTCGCAGCGAGAGGCTTGATAAAGTAATAAACCAACTCGTTCCACTTACCCAGCATACCTCAACGTGTTCATAGCCTTCATGAATGAATTCCCTTTCCTTCCAACTTCTGGTGTGATTTGGTGGGAGTAAGACTGAGAATCTTGATGATGGTGGTGAACTCCCATTTTTGGCTGTGCGATTGCATTGGAAATCGAGTCTAGACTGAAAGTGCTGTCACTCATCCACGTGGAACCTGGCTTGACGACAGCAAGTGGGGTAGCATTAACAATAGCTCGCAGAAAGTTTTCGTGCTCAACGTGTGCAGTTGTTTCACTCACACCGCTCCCTTTTTTAAAAAAAGTCACAATTAGTTTTTGTGAATGCACCCTTGTCAAAAATGGGGAAGGCAAAAAAGTTTTTTATTGTCCAATATCAATTACCAGCATGGTGCGGATGTCCTTTCAGGAATGCCATCAGTCCTTTACTATTGAAGGAAGCTCCCCTAACTAACAGCGCTCGACTTCTCGGATGTTTCCATGTGCTATTAACAAAAGATTTGTGAGATTACTGAGGATGAGGGTTATAATATAATATGGGCATATTAGAATTTACTTACGGGACGGGAAATCGACCACTTCGATAACATCTCGCAACTTTTTTTATACTTTCTTCTGAGATGAGATTAGGGACGACCAGGAGAGCCGGGTAGGAACGACAAATCATGTAATTACAATTTACATATGAGATTCGAAAAGATTCTGCTTTTGACAGGATCGTGGAAGCGTTGAGGTTCACAGTTTTGTGAAGGGTTCCGAGTCCCATGCGTTTCCAGTCCTTGTAATAACTTCGCTCCATTAATTTTTCCATACTCTTTGAATCGCTTGCGGAGTTAAGGGAAGTATTCATAGGCGAGTGAGGAAATTCATCGTCAGACACTACACAAAATTGATCAATTTTATAATTAATTACATTCAAACGTACTCATGTATAATCAAATAATACATATGAAAACCAAGTCAAATCCAAACTCAAATGCAAAAAAAACAGTTTGCCGGAACGAGCATTTTTATTATAGAAACTGGCAAACTTACTCTCATTTTGAGAAAGTGAACCCACTAAAATCATCCGCAGCATGGCCAAGATCACGTAGCAGTAAGAAAATATTTAAAACCGCTCAATTATCAGTACACTTTCAAAATGTGATAAAATTGAAACATAGCATGCTCAAAAAGTAATCTAATTTAAAGTTTAAACTTGCATTCAAAACTGGCTTGTATGTAATCGTAAAGAAAAAAATAAAACTGAAAAGTATTCCTCCCAATGATGCATTAGATACTTGGGACAGCCATGGACGCAAACTTATAACTTAAAATTATAAGTATACGTCGACATTTGGCATTTCCATCACTTGTGCATGTATAAATTAAGGCGTACATTGTACATCATAATTTTAAGTTATATGTCCACGGTTGCACCATGAATGTCTTTTATACTCATTTGAAAAACACAAACTTGAGTTTATACTTCTATTCCAAAAAAATCTTGTCTGAAATTTGTATAATTATGTATTCAAATTTTGATATTATTTTGGGAGGAAAAGTTTCCAGGAAAAAACGGAAAACTCACACGACACATCATCCCCATCAAGATTTTCTCTCGAGGGCGGACCATGTTTTAACGGACTAGTAACACCACCGATTGGAAGTTGAAGTTTCGAACCCACAGCTGGCAGCGTCCCTCCATTTCCATGAGACCAACTTCGAAGCTCATATTTTTGCCGTTTAGAAGGTTTTGTCTTCAAACCAGCCTTCTTTGCCGTGTAAATTATGGCCTTTTTGGTGAAACCCCTGCAACATAAAACAAACAGTGTTCAATATCTTGAAAATGGATTGAAAAATGTAAACAATTTTATATACACTCACTTCAACGTTGTGTTCTTATCCTTCGTAACAAGCGGGGCCGTAGGAACCAATTGTTGCCCAGCGAATGCAAAATAACCAGAAATATCTTGAGGGTGGCGATATTTACTTAGTGTCTTTCGAAATACATCGATGCTATCAGAGCTGACTTCTTCGTCAAAGGCAAGTTTCATTAACTAAATAGAGCAGTACAAGAGTACTTAATTAATATTCCTAATTTTAACTATCAACATCTATATCACCTCACCTGAAATGTTGCCGATCGAAGTTGTAGCCCTTCTTGTAAGAGTTGATCTAAATGGGCCAAATACTGAACCGTTATGCGCTTCTCCTTCGTCAATGAAGAAATCGGGAATGATCGGATAACCGTTTGTTCGCATGCATAAGGATCACAAGGTGTCCCTTTGAAAATCAGCCTGTAGTTTGTGAAAAAAATAGCACCTTCCGCCGGAAGAATAACAGGACCTAAAAAACATAGAGCTCGTTTACGTTTCCCAATTGAAATATTTGTGTGCAAGTGATCTATTTCACCCTGACTCGCAATCGTTAATTTTCCAGCTAATCGACATGTTTTCAAGTGAATTAAATTTACTTGAAAGCAAATTTAATTTAATTTAGTTTAAAATCTGGGGCAACAATGGTGCAATAATTTTACAAGTCCAAGAAAAACGGAATTTTTGTCGGGCATTCGAAGAGAGGTTGGTTATGCTGGGTTTTGTGCTTTTAAGTGGCCGTGAGGGGCGTTAAGGACCCATGGACCTTAACACTTCCTCACTTTTCCTACACTAATTAGGCCTCACGACATCAAAATCTGGCGCTGGCAATGTCGTATGTTTCCTTCCTAAGTTGCTTGAAGTTCTTTATACCAGGAACTTTTAAAATTTTTGATTTGCTAAATTGGTAAGTTTTCATGTAATTGGTTGTCTATTCAACTACGTATTTACATTTAATAGTTACTTGCTATCACCCAATTTTGCTGAGTCAGTTTTGGGAATAGTCAACGTAATAAGCATACAAGCAAATATTAATAAGCGACAAAATAATTCTCACCACCCATACTGCCTCCAGTCCCATCTTCTCTACCGTCAGGTAGCAGATATACTCGGATGCTATCCAGCACCATGAGTTCTCCTGGGAGTAATGCAGGGTTTGGAATTTTGGGCTGTGGAAATAGTTCAACAAAATTAAGATACAAACATTATTTGAACGTAAGAAATACAAATATAAAACAATCCGTGCAAAAAACCTTTTGGATTGGTGGAAGACGCTTAGTCTCTTTGTATACATTTTCACAATCTTCTATATGCATATCGACGCATGTTGCAACCATGGCCTGAGTACGTCGAATGTATTCCTCAGAAACACCGCCTTCGACGCAAACCTTATCAATGAATCGTCCTATGAACTTTTTTACTGACGTTCCAGACTCAACGCATGTGTCTTGGTCTTCAAAACCAGATTCACCACCAAGGCTATCGCTTTCAGCCATGCTAGAAGGAAAGATAAATAACATTCATAACATCGGACTTATGTACAAAGGACCAAATGATTTACATATAAATCATATTTAGTGTTTTGTTAACTAACCTAGTAATGTTACTCACTCTCTCCTCATCGAATCCGTAGTGGTTATGGTCTCTCGGTCGCCTTGTGGGGGTGTCGAGAGGGACGAGCATATATGTCATTCTACTTAAAAAATGAACGGCTTGCGCCACGATAGTCGATTCCTCTATAGAGATATTGGTTTTCATTTTTTCTACACAAAATTATGAGGCATAATTAAAGTTAGATAATTCTAAGTATTACTTTGAGTAGAGATTATCTTTATTTGATTAGAGTTTACCGGGGTCTATATTTTGAGCAAGCCTCATCTGCTCCGCAGCAATTTCAAGGGCCGAGTATTCTACAGGGTTATTCGAATTCAACACGGGAAGATTTTCCTCCAATTCGACACTACCACGCTGTGATAATATATATTACGCATTAAGTACGTTCATACCATAAAAGTTTCAGCATTTATGAAATCATACATGTGGTATATTAGAGATCACAGATGAGTAATTGTTTGTTGAAAAAAATGAATTTTCGCGTGGTGGAAGGTACAGCTTTTTAATTTCCTTCTCTACTTCTGTATAAAATACAGATTCCCAAAATTGTTGATTTTTCCATACCGGATGCTCCTGAGTCAAAATAGTTCACATTAATAAGAGTATATGATAGTATTTGCATAATAACGTGCATACCTGAATGCATGTGTATGCAAACTGTTTCACGTTGTTGCATAGTTTGCGGTAAAACTCGCATGCCAGCGGCAGTAGAGCTCCGGCGATGCCATGTTCATCCATTACGGAACAATCCTACAACAAGTAATAAATAAACACATTGTATACAATAATCGTCGTATGGTCGTTCCTTTCCCATATGATTTCTAAGAATAAAGGGATAGGACTTATAGGAGTAGAATGTAATATTATTACTTTGGGTAAACTGCCCGTCATTTGTTCGTACTATTAATAAAAAGTAAATGAACCGTCAGGGATTCTTTACATATGCTGGTGGAAAAAACTTGGTATCTCGGATACCGTGAAATTTTACGGCCGCCATAGATTTGTGATTTCGCAAGATTTTTTATTCACTCTCGTAAAAGTAGTCCAGAAAAAATGAGGATGGTGAAAAAACTGTCAAACAATGCGAAGGAAAATATACAAAAAGGTGATAAAATTGGGAAATTTTTGGGCAATTTTGGGTACATGGAGGAATAGTTTTTTCTACCAGCGTCTGCATACATAAACATGATGATGATGATAATGTACTGATTATGTAGTTTTTGAGGATTGTACATGTGACTTATCAATGAGGGGATTTTTACTTATTACTAGTAGTCGCACTTGACCATGTCGATGTCTTGGTCATGGCAATTCAAACGTGAATATATCTTGTAAATCTCGAAAAAATTGTAATTTGGTTCGGGAGGTGAGAATAGTAAAACTTGCTAATTCAAATTTGAAAACAATATCAATAGCGTAAAGTAATTTAGTATTTCCATTACCTGAAGTGCACAGTGCATCAATTTCACCACCATGTCAAACTGTTGTGCGTTTAAGACCGCCTTCGCTCCCGTTATATGACTTCCAAGTTCCTGACAAAGAACCATTTTTGCACTTTGACTTTTTAGAGCACGGGTGACTGCATGAAAGCTTTTCCTTGCATCAGAAATTTTGTTGTCGAAGATGTACGCGATACAAGTACGCAGAACCTAAACCAATACAACACATTATAGCATTTTACAACTAATTAACGAGTGCATTGTATCATGAAGGAAAAATTTATCATTACTTCAAGTCTTCTGGCTGAATTGTCCACGATTTGATGCTGCCGATAATCCATCAAACCGCACATTGAAGGACCAAACGGAACAATTCTTGGCTGACTATGTTTTGTCATATTATTGAATCTTGCAAGGGCTTGCTTACTTATCCCTTCATTGATCAACTCTTGGACGAGGCCACAATCAAAGGTGGGAAATTGTTTCACGTGGATTCGGGAGTGGGCCCCATCTGGTGGTTTCATTATCTTTGGAACATACTGTTGTGCACTAGGATTCTCGTTGATGAGAAGTAGTTGACCCAACTCCTATAAATATAATAGCGAGTTCTGCTAATACTAATCCCTCCAAGTAATTTTTTAGTAACCGTCTATACCTGTATATGCACCAAGGTTAGTTTACTGTCTTGCGCTTCGGCTTTTAACTTTTCTGGAGTTTCATTATATAAGTCATCCCAAATATCACAAGCTCTCCACGGCGAACCTCTTTCCAAGATGAATTGATTAAAGAACATACAATCCAATAGCCGAATCACAAATTCACTATCTATGAGGCCTCGTCGGCCTAAAAATTTGGACTGAAAATACCAAAAATAATACCACTAAAGAAATGCCGTGCTTGTTAATTATAATAATGAAAATAAACAATAATAAGGAAGTAGTCTTCTTCTTCTTCTTCTTCTTACCTTATGAAATGTAATAACCGCCTTTGCATGAATCCGGATAATAACTAGGCAGGATCGATATCCTTGAAAAAGTTGAGCAAAGAGACGCAAGAAAACTGCTCGGATTTCTTTATCCAATGTGATCGAATTTGAAGATTTGACAACTAGCGGAGGAAATGCAAAATCTGCTGACGTAAGCTCGGGATGCAATACGTATGATAATTGTTCCTGAACTTGGGTAGCAAGTAGGTCTGGCAGAGTTGGGATAGATATTCCATCAGGAACTGTAATTGATCCGCCGTCCAAGTCGACAACTGTTACATCCATCTGTAGACAGAAATATAATTTCATGAAACACCATTAAGAAACTTGCTATTAAACCCGTATGTGCAGTACACTCACCAAATCAGAACACATTGATCTCGCAGAAGAGTGTACCCCAAGCATGAATGGCGTAGGAGAGCTTACAACTTCTATGATCTCGGAAGGTAGAAGAGGAACGTATATATGAATATAACGGAAGGGAAACATTAGAGCTGTCAAGGCATGGCATGCATCGGTCAGTCTGGTTACTTCAAAGACAAAACAATCAATAAATAATGACACAATAAATACTGTAAAAACTATTTATAATAAACTAAATGTATGACATACTGCTATTTGAATGGAAGAGAATCTTGTGTTCCGTCATCACGGCACAAAATAGCGTCAGAACGTTGTTAATTCCTAAATTGATTGGGAAATACATTAACATTTGTATGCTAATTTCCCAGACATTTTTTTCCATACCGAGTTGTTGAAAAAGCTGTGCCACCGAAGAACTTGTAACCGGAATTGAATAATTTATAGGTGGCTGGAAAAATTGTCGGTCGCCCCCACCAAGGCTGAATCTAATCTGCTGTCCTCCAGTTAGCGGAACTTGGAAATTACCTAATAGAGTCCCCACCAATGTTTCTAGTTTTATGTCCATGTTCTCTGAGTGTACGGTGTATATTGTCCCTAGGCAGTTCTAAATAATATCCATCCATAGCATTAAAAAATTCAAATTGTTGTCGTTTGTTTATAATATAACTACCCGAAAGGTTTCGATTTGGTATATTCGTGACATGAGGACCAGGCACTTTGGTGCGTACATGATTGTGTGGTGGTGATGATTCGTTCCACCAGCACTCGGTGCTGCACACATGCTCATGGAGTACGATTCTACACATCCGTAAATGTCTTCCTCCTGCATAGCAAGAATACAAATGAGTTTGGCATTGTTATATGAACAAGAAAGATGAACTAGTTTGGATCGTCACCTCGTCTATCGGCCTTGATGGGGTGATATAAATCGGCTCATGGAAGCTTAGACAAGCACAGAAATGTCGGGTCAAATTGACATCGGTGAGGACAGATACAAAAAATTTAGGCTCCTGCCTTTCTGCAGATAACCTCCATCCTTGCGGCTGACAAAACTAGAATAGCAAGTATCAAAAATTAGTTAACAATTCAACTAATCTCATGAGCATCTAAAAATGGTTTACTAATTCAATTTCAGCAATGAACGGGACATCCTCCCAGTCCTTGGTGGGAAACCGTTGAAGGATTTCCCCAGTCCCTCCCTCTGCAAGAAATATAAAGCTTACAATCTTTTTCTGAATGACATTTCATTTTTTAAAACCTTACTTTGAGCATCATTTTTGTATCCAATCACGACAAAGTAGTCGGCCAGACGAAGCGTAGGAATAACTGGACACTGATGGTTTCTACTCCCGATGATTCCACTGAAAGTTGCAAGGTACACAATTAAGCATAGCTAATTTCATCAGAATATCTTGTTTTAAGTTATCATCAGATCAAAAATGGCAATAAACGATTCTCACTTTTCCTCATGATTCATTCTGGTCACATGAAGAACTCCGTCCTTCCACTTTACCGATAGGATCTCCTCCTCATCTGTAAAGGCTGCAAAGTCCTGTTCCAGCAAGTATCTTCCCACCTAAAGTGATCAAATTCAAGTAAAACATTAGGAAAATATTATTACTTTCATATCTGAAGCTGTGTCGCGTCACTCTTCAACCAAAATTGTATTATTTGCAACCCCACCAAAACCAAATAGCCAGTTATGTAATATCAACAAACGGTCCCTCCATATTTCGCTTAAGGTGACGTTGGATGATGACGCGTTGATGTACCATTGACTTTTCACCTCACCCTACCTCCAGTCAATGTCTTTAAATGCAAATGTCTAAAATGGCATCAATTTTATGAGTTTTGAAATAAATGTAACTTTTGATACTTAAATCTAAAGTTAATTTTTGGTACTACAAAACCATCTTTCGTAGAAATTGGTTAATTCATTTGTCATTTTCTCACCATAAATTTGAATTAACTAGCCTATCTCAAAACTCATGAAATTGAATCGATTTTAGAAATTTCCATTTAAAGACATTGACTAGAGGTAGGGTAAGATGAAAAATCAGTGCCACATCCACGCTTCATCCAAGGGCACCTTAGCTCACACATGTCGACCAATAATCCGAGATAAAAGGTTATCAATCACCACCTTGAATGCTTTCTCCTCCACAATACGATACTTTATTTATGCGCTAATTTCACTAATTGCTAATCTTGTATCACTCAATCTGCAAACCAACCCCAAAACTAACTCATCTACTCTCTTCAAATAGTATGGAAAAGAAAGGACTTTATTCTCTGGCATAAGTAGTAGCTCCTCTCATATCATCATCAAATCCATCATCATCATTATTTGTTTACAATATAAAAGTCTCGCAAATAATTGCAAATTATATTTTGAAATACTGAAAAAAGTGTATTTGGCCATCGCATCAGTACACAGTAAGTACAAAGGTAATTTTTTATATTTTTTTATATTGAATTGATTCATTGCGTACATTTATTTGATTATTTTTTATTTGATGGTGTGCATTTGTAAGTGGAAGGAAAGTCGAGGTTGTCCATTCAGTACGGTGCAAAATTACGTTTTTAAAATTTAGTTTAAAACAGTTTTCAATGAGTAAAAACTAGAGTCTTTTCTGTACACCGTAATGGATGGATGGTCTCGCAAACGAGCTTGGATGCGGCCGGTCTTACGGAGCAGGGGCCGAATTCAGTGCTAGGTTACCATGGTTACCCAGTGCATATTGACTTTAAGCCCAGCTAAGACTAATTTTACCTACGTTTCAACTGGAATTTAATTTCATAAAGCCATTTCTATTATTTTACGCTACAAATTCATTGACACCGAAAGTAAGCATTATCACCCATTTTGGAAAAATAAGATCGAATTGTAATTAAAATTCTGAAGTCTTTTTTGACCAAAGTAGGATACAATCTCTAATTTTACGCGAATGTAGTTGAATAAACAAATAAGTTTTATAAATCTTAAACTTCTAAATCATAGGTCTAACGTGAACAATGGCCTCAAACAGCGCACTTGCGTTGTACCTTCTTGTAAGGTGGTCGATCGAAATCGGGAGATAGATTTATCATGGCATTTGTAAGTCCAACCTGAACTCAATTTTAATGAAATTAGTTAAATATTACAAAACTATAAATTAACAGGTTCCCACATTCGGCCATGCATCAGAAAATGCGTATTAACTGGATCACCATAATTCGAAACCTAACAAATGATCAGGCGTGGGAACCTACTCGTGATTCCAGGATTTGTAGCCGTCATTTCCTAACAGAAGAATTATATACGGCCGGTATTCGACGTAGGCTCAGAGGACAACCTGTCCCAACTCTCTTTCTTCACGATGCTACAATGAGTAAGTCATTTTACGAGAACTTTAGCATTGCTTTCGATCACCCTCCCCTAATAATTTGTTTGACTAGCAGCCGATGTAAATTCTACCGGAATGCAATTGGACGTCCCACAAGTTCCTGACGATGTTCCAGAAGAACCGATGGAGGTCACACCATCAACAGTTAAGTCCCTTGGAACCATCTCTTGCCCTTCATGTGCCAACACATTTTCTGTGACTGAGATCGATGGGAAACTTCAGGGACATTGTGCCACGGATCAGCTACAACCTGGTGAACCAAATTTTCCCCCTAGTAGGTCCAGAAAGCGCCTTTTTCATGATCCAGAAGATGTCGACCACCCATCAGACGTTTCATTGCAAGTCTCATCACCCTCATTTATCACTGTCACCCCAAAGTCAAGGCGAGCTGTTAGGAACGAGCATAGTTATTGCGCATCTCCAGGACAGGCAGCAGACGAACTTAAGACTGTAAAGAAACAACTAGCAGATCTTAGAGTTAAGTATCATCAACTAGAGCTTAAACTTGAACGTCGATATCGTGCTCAGTCCACTCACGTAGATAGTCTGGAAAGCCTTAAAGCTTTAAGTAATCGGCAGGTAGATACTTTGGATGCTAGATTTCCTGAGCTACTTTTCCATATCGTAGAAAATGAAAAACGAGCTTTTAGTATTAAAGGAAAGAGTGGAATGGAGTATGGCGAGGAGATAAAAAAATTTTCTGCCACACTTCATTATCACTCTCCAAAAGCCTATCGTTTTTTGCGTCACTACTTAACTTTGCCGCACCCATCAACCATCACTTCCTGGATGAAATCGTCAGATTGTGGTCCTGGGTATAATTTAGACGTTATCTCTCGATTAGGCGAAGCTAGACTTTCTCACACGAATAATGTCATGACAGATATAGTAATGATCATAGACGAAATGGCTATAAGGAAAGGTTTGGTTTGGGATTCATCTAAGCATTGCTATGTTGGCTTCGTTGATTACGGCACTTCTGACATTGATGAGCCTGAAAATCTTCAATTGGCTGGCAATGTTTTAGTATGCATGATTGCTGGGATATCTGGTGGTTGGAAATGTCCGATAGGGTACATATACACGGATAAAGTTAATGGGGAGACTCAGAGGGCATTCCTGCATAAAGCTTTCGTGCTACTGGAGGAGCAGCAATTTAATGTCTGGGCGTTAATTTCTGATGGCTGTACGTCTAACGTATCACTGTTTGAAGGGTATGGCGTATCTGATAGCGTAATACAAGGGGCTTCTTTCGATATCGATGGTGACTTTCCTTGCAGTTTTCCAAATCCTGCCAATCCTTCTAAAATCGTATACGCAATGTATGACGTAGTTCATATGATGAAATTATGGCGCAATTTGATGGGTCGCTCTTTCGATAAAGGTGGTCGTATCTCATTGGAGGATGGTCGTTGTGTCTCTTGGGGATTTGTTGAAGCTCTTTTCGAACTCCAGACAGTTGAGAAAATTCGAGCAGCCAATAAACTAGGCAGGTATCATGTAGATTTTATAAATCATAAAATGAACGTAAAACTAGCTGTCCAAAGTCTTAGCAGATCTGTAGTTGACGCTATTTCTTTTTGCAGAGACTCGTTAGATTTGCAAGATTTTAGAGGATCTCAAGGAACCACATATTTCATGCAGTTATTAGACACGACTTTCGATATTTTGAATTCGAGGAACTGTGGTCAGAGGGGAGAAAAGTCACCAATAAATATTTCCAACTTTGACCATATGACTTCTATCTTAAACGACTTCTGTAGGACTGTGTTCGGAATGAAATATGTGCAAATTAGAGAGTATAGGAGCACAGGTAAACGTTCGGTGTACGAGAAAAGGTTGATAGATAGCGATTCAAGACGGGCCGCATTAGGAATGATGATATCCATCAAGTCAGTCATTGGTATTAGCAAAGCTCTTCTGGTCAGAGAGTTTAATCCTTTCAAATTCGTGCTGACGTATCGGTTCTGTCAAGATCCTCTAGAACTTTTTTTTAATACAGTGAGGGGAAGATTAGGTAAGAACAATAATCCAACTGTCGTAGTTTAGGAACATCATGAAATCCATCTGGCACCAAAATCTCCTAAAGTCCACCAACACGGGTAACTGCATTGTGCAGATTGACGAAGGTCAAGTTCCTGGTGGTATGTTGCCTCTCAAACGTGTTCGGAAATTGAAGGTGCTCGATATGGATGACATTGATGCGTTGGACATTGTAGATCTTAGCGCCCTCTCTGATCCACATTATTCAGATTTTTATAGGAATTGTCTAGCTTACATTAGCGGGAATGTGGTCAGAGTAGTTGGGACAAAGTTGAAGTGTGAGATTTGTGCCGAATCACTTCTTAACACAGACGCTGATCTTCTTCCTTCTCACTTTGCTAAGCTAATCGAGGCTAAGGATCGCGGAGGCTTATTCACCCCTTGTCATTCCGTTTTCCGTATAGTTGAGCTGACTGATGCATGTTATCGGCAAATTTGCAAAGCTTCTGATGGTTTAATGAAGGTATCTAACCTAGACCGTAGGATTTCTATGATGGTTACTGCACGATGCTTAGAAACCACAATTTTCCCACATCTGACGCATCACGTAATTGACTTTGATCCATTAACTGAAACTAGTCATTTGTCTGATCTCATTTCTCGAATTTCGATGCATTTTTTGAAAATTCGCTTATTTGATCATGGAAATAGGTTTCAAAAGATGCGAGAAATTTCAACTTCTGTACGGCACAAATTTGGCAAATTAACAATATTTACCGAAGCGCATTAGAATAGGTTCAGAATTATTTTACAGATGCTCCTTAGAATTTTTAAGAATATATTTTAAGTGTTTAGAACTATTTGGAATTATTTAAATGTATTTTAAGTTGTATTTAGCATTATTTGGGATTACCTAAATTTAATTGAAGTTGTCTTTAGAATTATGTTAGAGTTAAAATAGTTTAAAATTATCTAAACATTATAGTAAAATTATTTACGAACTATTTTTAAATTGTTCTACGTGACCCAGTCACGTTAAGATGTCTTAAGAGAATTGCATCCCACTAAAAATTGTTAATCAATAAATAAATGCTGTTTCGTAGTTGGACTGTGGATTCTGATTTATTTGCACATAAAAAATATTAAATAGAATGCATAATGTTTTGTTATTACAGTTCATCATGCCATTATTTCCAGGGGATTTGGA